GCATGTTAGCCACATTGTTGATCCGTGTTTGTTTTTCCCCGTGTTCTCTTATACATTTTCTTCTGATTTGAAGGGTAGCTAGCAGAAAGATTGGCATTAACAGCTGTTTGTATAAGTAAGAATTTACTGAGTGCTCTACCAGTGGCTTACCAGGATATATAATTTATATATTTTTTTTATTATTAACACATCGACCGTTTCCCACCAAGGCAGGGTGGCCCGAAAAGGAAAAACTTTCATCATCATTCACTTCATCACTGTCTTGCCAGAGGCACGTTTACACTACAGTTATAAAACTGCAATGTTAACACTCCTTCAGAGTGCAGGCATCTCTCTCAGTCCACAGCAGGACTCGAACCTGCACACTCTGTGTCCTTTGTAATTTGATACAGTGTGTGCAGGTTCGAGTCCTGCTTGGACCGAGAAATAGTGTTTGGTAAAAGTTTGCTAGTTAAGTATTCTTGGGCTATCCTGTGCTTAGTGATGTGGCCTGTTTCCACTGGGGCCCTTGAGTCCTGTCCTAGAATGTCACAATAGTCGACAATGTTCTAGGTATCTATTTACTACTAAGTAGCAGAAGCAACAGTGACCATGACACTAGTGTTTTTTTTTTTTTTACGGTACAGCGAGCGTACCATGGTGGCCCTTAGTTACAAAGTCTGTCTCAAGGTTACCGTCAATGTATCTCACAGACTTTATAATACTATCAATGCCTGGGTATCATCAATGCCAGGGTACCATCAATGCCTGGGCATCATCAGTGCCTGAGTACCATCAATGTCTGGGTACCATCAATGTCTGGGTACCATCACTGCCTGGGTACCATCACTGCCTGGGTACCATCACCGCTTGGGTACCATCACACTGCCGGGGTACCATCACTGCCTGGGTACCATCACTGTCTGGGTACCATCACTGCCTGGTACCATCACTGCCTGGGTACCATCAATGCCTCGGTCATTTGGCTGTGAGCTTAAGGCACGATAAAAATAGTACTGATACATATAGTATACTCATCAATATATAGTAACCATGACTAGCATAAAATATTTGCGACTTCCTGTGTAACTATTTCTACCATTAATGTTTTACCTCCAAACTATTAACAAAAACTATTATCATTATAGTACTGATGCTGTACTATACCATTAAACTATTGTTATTTTAAACTGTATGGGTAAATGACCCATTACGATAAGAGATAAGATAAGATTTCGTTCGGATTTTTAACCCCGGAGGGTTAGCCACCCAGGATAACCCAAGAAAGTCAGTGCGTCATCGAGGACTGTCTAACTTATTTCCATTGGGGTCCTTAATCTTGTCCCCCAGGATGCGACCCACACCAGTCGACTAACACCCAGGTACCTATTTGCTGCTAGGTGAACAGGACAACAGGTGTAAGGAAACGTGTCGAAATGTTTTCACCCGCCGGGAATCGAACCCGGGCCCTCCGTGTGTGAAGCGGGAGCTTTAATAGTTCATTACCTTCGTAATTTGTTCAGCTATCAAAACTTTGGGGCCCAGTCCCTGGACCCATTATGTACCTCTGTAATCCTCTGACTACCGCCCACAGGATGGGTATGAGGTACACAATAGAGACAAACTAACTTATACTTCTACCGTCAATTTGTTTTTAGTTTAATATATTTATTATGCACCTCATACCCATGGTGTGAGTGGTAGTCAAAAGATTACAGAGGTACATAATGGGTCCAGGGACTGGGCCCCAAAATTTTGATAGTTGAACAAGTTACAAAGGTCATGAACTCCAGGTAGATCTGGTCACAATCGTGTTTGTACCAAGTTACAAAGGTAATGAATCATCTACACATTTATACATGGTTACAGCCATGAACAAATTACAAAGTAATGAGCTGATTTAAAGGACTGCCGTCTGGTAACGAGGTGGACAAAGGGGTAAGCAGGAAAAGCTCGGATTTGAACGCTTATCACTGATGATGACTGAATTATCTCCTGTTGTGAGGGTTGCTGGCAGTGATGATTGATGACACTGACAGTCACTGACAGTGATGCTCGTTGATAGTGATGGTCATTGACAGTGATGGTAGCTGACAGTGACAATCACTGACAGTGATGGTCGGTTACAGTGATGATCACCAACAATGATAGCCTGTGATGGGCATTGACACTGACGAACGCTGTCAGTGACGAACACTAACAGTAACGAACCCTGACAGACGAACGCTGACAGTGTCGAACACTGACAGTGACGAACGCTGATAAGAAATGCGACAGTGATGAATGCTGACACGCAACCCGTTATCCATTAGCGTCATTTCCGGTTCAACTGGTTGCTTCACAACCACATTCTAATAACTGTGATTCCTCCACTGACTTTGTGAATTGTATCCTTAAACGATAAATAACAAATATTAATATCTGGCTGAGTGGCTAAAGTACTGTGTACTTTGATACAGAGTGTGCAGGGTCGAGTCCTGCTGTGGACAGAGACAATTTCTAAGACTGTAGATTCTAATCAATGGCATTTACGTAATAATAGTAATAACTGGCTTTATGGAACTCTGTGTTCATCAAGAACTGCAAGAAGCCCCTATCACGAGCCTTTTCCATCCTATGGAGAGGGAGCATGGACACGGGGGTCGTCCCACAGTTACTAAAAACAACAGACATAGCCCCACTCCACAAAGGGGGCAGTAAAGCAACAGCAAAGAACTACAGACCAATAGCACTAACATCCCATATCATAAAAATCTTTGAAAGGGTCCTAAGAAGCAAGATCACCACGCATCTAGAAACCCATCAGTTACACAACCCAGGGCAACATGGGTTTAGAACAGGTCGCTCCTGTCTGTCTCAACTATTGGACCACTACGACAAGGTCCTAAATGCACTAGAAGACAAAAAGAATGCAGATGTAATATATACAGACTTTGCAAAAGCCTTCGACAAGTGTGACCATGGCGTAATAGCGCACAAAATGCGTGCTAAAGGAATAACAGGAAAAGTCGGTCGATGGATCTATAATTTCCTCACTAACAGAACACAGAGAGTAGTCGTCAACAGAGTAAAGTCCGAGGCAGCTACGGTGAAAAGCTCTGTTCCACAAGGCACAGTACTCGCTCCCATCTTGTTCCTCATCCTTATATCCGACATAGACAAGGATGTCAGCCACAGCACCGTGTCTTCCTTTGCAGATGACACCCGAATCTGCATGACAGTGTCTTCCATTGCAGACACTGCAAAGCTCCAGGCAGACATCAACCAAATCTTTCAGTGGGCTGCAGAAAACAATATGAAGTTCAACGATGAGAAATTTCAATTACTCAGATATGGTAAACATGAGGAAATTAATCTTCATCAGAGTACAAAACAAATTCTGGCCACAAAATAGAGCGAAACACCAACGTCAAAGACCTGGGAGTGATCGTGTCGGAGGATCTCACCTTCAAGGACCATAACATTGTATCAATCGCATCTGCTAGAAAAATGACAGGATGGATAATGAGAACCTTCAAAACTAGGGAGGCCAAGCCCATGATGACACTCTTCAGGTCACTTGTTCTATCTAGGCTGGAATATTGCTGCACACTAACAGCACCTTTCAAGGCAGGTGAAATTGCCGACCTAGAAAATGTACAGAGAACTTTCACGGCGCGCATAACGGAGATAAAAACACTCAATTATTGGGAGCGCTTGAGGTTCCTAAACCTGTATTCCCTGGAACGCAGGAGGGAGAGATACATGATTATATACACCTGGAAAATCCTAGAGGGACTAGTACCGAACTTGCACACGAAAATCACCCACTACGAAAGCAAAAGACTTGGCAGACGATGCACCATCCCCCCAATGAAAAGCAGGGGTGTCACTAGCACGTTAAGAGACCATACAATAAGTGTCAGGGGCCCGAGACTGTTCAACTGCCTCCCAGCACACATAAGGGGGATTACCAACGTACCCCTGGCAGTCTTCAAGCTGGCACTGGACAAGCACCTAAAGTCAGTTCCGGATCAGCCGGGCTGTGGCTCGTATGTTGGTTTGCGTGCAGCCAGCAGCAACAGCCTGGTTGATCAGGCTCTGATCCACCAGGAGGCCTGGTCTCAGACCGGGCCGCGGGGGCGTTGACCCCCGGAACTCTCTCCAGGTAAACTCCAGGTAAACAGGCTAAGAGTTGTTATCCTGCATCAGTTCGATAATGACGTGGGTCATTATGGCTGTAGTTGACCTGTGTACTAATATCAAGCATATCTTTATCCCTGCAATAAAGATTAAAGCAAACTCTCAGTGTACATACACAGGTATATACACTTCAGGGTTTACATGTGGACATTTCCAAGGATGACCTAAGCAATATCTTAAGAGAATTAAATACCACTGTCAAGGATGCGACTTACAACTGACTAACAGGTGATTATTTATTGGTAGGTGAACGGGTACCTGTTTACTGTTAGGTGAAGAGGTAATTGTTCACTGCTGGGTGAGCATATTTATTGCAATGTAAGCAGGGGCAGTAGTTGTCAGGGACCCTTCCCACAAGTCCCACACAACCCGGGGATCAAGCCCGGATTCCTTCGGTTGTGAGCCATTGTATGACTATACTGACCATATTTAACATACAACAATATACATTCTTTATATTGAAAACAGCAGGAATGTAATATTTTATGCTATGTAATTTTTAGATATAAATAAGAACAGTGTACTAATGCAATAATATTCTTCTATTCAATATAAATATACATTTTAATTGGATATAACTATTTGTAAATGTAACTATGATTTTATCTTTTGTATATGGAAACTACTGTAAATATATATATCAAGTTAAACAGGCATAATTGAGTGATTTCCCAAATTAGAAATTCGAATTTACCGCCACTACTTAGTAGACTGAAGACGCGAAGGAGAACCTAAATTTTTCTAAATTCTAATAATATCCACACATTTGATCTAACATACTATAATAAACCCGCAACTGTTAGGCCAGTCATTGAGTCAGGGGTTAAACAAATGGCCATTTAATAAAGGCTAACGGTGTAACGATAAGAAAGGAATATAAAAATGGCATTATTGGAACATAACTGAGCTGGTCCAGTCATAGCCACTGCGGCGTTACTGTGAAATATTTTTCATAAAAATGGCTGCTGGTTTACCTCGGAGAATAATTAAGGTGGGCTTTTTAGGTCTATTTCACCCTGTTGTGTCTATGAGGGGAGGTTTAGGCCCCTCGTAGGTGAAATAAGAGGTGTAATTACCTCAAATACCGGATATGCATGGTAGTAGCCGCTGTCCAACCTGCTCTGTTAGATCATTTCATTTTTTTTTCGGTTTTGTGGGTTTTTATGGTGGTTTTTGGAGGGGGCAGTGTAGGGGATTTATTACTGGGTATTGTGGGTGTCTGTACCCAGGGGTATTGTGTGTCGCCTCTGGGTATTGTGGGTTTGGGCAACTAAGATTGGTGTCTACACGAGTATTACCCCCAGAGTGTTCTGTGGTTCTTCACCCCCAGAGTGTTCTGTGGTTCTTCACCCCCAGAGTGTTCTGTGGTTCTTCACCCCCAGAGTGTTCTGTGGTTCTTCACCCCAGAGTGTTCTGTGGTTCTTCACCCCCAGAGTGTTCTGTGGTTCTTCACCCCCAGAGTGTTCTGTGGTTCTTCACCCCCAGAGTGTTCTGTGGTTCTTCACCCCAGAGTGTTCTGTGGTTCTTCACCCCAGAGTGTTCTGTGGTTCTTCACCCCCAGAGTGTTCTGTGGTTCTTCACCCCAGAGTGTTCTGTGGTTCTTCACCCCCAGAGTGTTCTGTGGTTCTTCACCCCCAGAGTGTTCTGTGGTTCTTCACCCCCAGAGTGTTCTGTGGTTCTTCACCCCCAGAGTGTTCTGTGGTTCTTCACCCCCAGAGTGTTCTGTGGTTCTTCACCCCCAGAGTGTTCTGTGGTTCTTCACCCCCAGAGTGTTCTGTGGTTCTTCACCCCCAGAGTGTTCTGTGGTTCTTCACCCCCAGAGTGTTCTGTGGTTCTTCACCCCCAGAGTGTTCTGTGGTTCTTCACCCCCAGAGTGTTCTGTGGTTCTTCACCCCCAGAGTGTTCTGTGGTTCTTCACCCCCAGAGTGTTCTGTGGTTCTTCACCCCCAGAGTGTTCTGTGGTTCTTCACCCCCAGAGTGTTCTGTGGTTCTTCACCCCCAGAGTGTTCTGTGGTTCTTCACCCCCAGAGTGTTCTGTGGTTCTTCACCCCCAGAGTGTTCTGTGGTTCTTCACCCCCAGAGTGTTCTGTGGTTCTTCACCCCCAGAGTGTTCTGTGGTTCTTCACCCCCAGAGTGTTCTGTGGTTCTTCACCCCCAGAGTGTTCTGTGGTTCTTCACCCCCAGAGTGTTCTGTGGTTCTTCACCCCCAGAGTGTTCTGTAGTTTGTCACCCCCAGAGTATTTTGTAGTTTGTCACCCCCAGACTATTGTCATCAAAAACCTTAACTACCGAGAACACCTGGAAGCACTTGACTTGTACTCACTGGACTTCTGGTGAGAGAAATGTATCATAATCTACACCTGGAAGATTCTGGAGGGACTGGTTCCTAATCTGCATACAGAAATCACTCCTGCGAGAGCAAAAGACTTGTCAGGTGATGTAACATACCCTCAGTGAAAAATAGGGCGTCACTGGTACACTAAGAGAAAATGTGTTTGGGGCCCAAGACTGTTCAACAGCCTCCCACCAACCATAAGGGGCATTACCAATAGACCGCTGGTTGTCTTCAAGAGGGAGCTGGACAGATACCTAAAGTCGGTGCCAGATCAGCCGGGCTGTGGTTCCTATGTTGGACTACGTGCGGCCAGCATTAACAGCCTCGTTGATCAGGCCCTGATCCGCCAGGAGGCCTGGTTGTGGACCGGGCCGCGGGGACGTTGATCCCCGGAATACCTTCCAGGTAGACCCTCAGAGTATTTTTAGCCTGCGGAGTATTGTAGCCCAAGCAGTAATGTCACCCGCAGAGTACTGTACCATCACTCAGAGTATTGTAATCCATGGAGTATTGTCTTCACCCACAGAGTATTGTAGCCTGCTGGGTATTGTGCCTTCACCCGCTGGGTATTGTCTTCACCCACAGAGTATTGATTGTTGTCACCCACAGAGTATTGGTTGTCATTACCCACAGAGTACCGAGTGTCGTCACCCCACAGAGTACTGATTGTCATCACCCCACAGAGTAGTGATTGTTATCACCCCACAGAGTAGTGATTGTCGTCACCCCACAGAGTACTGGTTGTCGTCACCCTACAGAGTACTGGTTGTCGTCACCCCACAGAGTACTGATTGTCGTCACCCCACAGAGTACTGATTGTCGTCACCCCACAGAGTACCGATTGTCGTCACCCCACAGAGTACTGATTGTCGTCACCCCACAGAGTACTGATTGTCGTCACCCCACAGAGTACTAATTGTCGTCACCCCACAGAGTACTGATTGTCGTCACCCCACAGAGTACTGATTGTCGTCACCCCACAGAGTACTGACTGTCGTCACCCCACAGAGTAGTGATTGTCGTCACCCCACAGAGTAGTGATTGTCGTCACCCCACAGAGTAGTGATTGTCGTCACCCCACAGAGTAGTGATTGTCGTCACCCCACAGAGTAGTGATTGTCGTCACCCCACAGAGTAGTGATTGTCGTCACCCCACAGAGTAGTGATTGTCGTCACCCCATAGAGTAGTGATTATCGTCACCCCACAGAGTAGTGATTGTCGTCACCCCACAGAGTACTGGTTGTCGTCACCCCACAGAGTACTGGTTGTCGTCACCCTACAGAGTACTGATTGTCGTCACCCCACAGAGTAGTGATTGTCGTCACCCCACAGTAGTGATTGTCGTCACCCCACAGAGTAGTGATTGTCGTCACCCCACAGAGTAGTGATTGTCGTCACCCCACAGAGTAGTGATTGTCGTCACCCCACAGAGTAGTGATTGTCGTCACCCCACAGAGTAGTGATTGTCGTCACCCCACAGAGTAGTGATTGTCGTCACCCCACAGAGTAGTGATTGTCGTCACCCCACAGAGTAGTGATTGTCGTCACCCCACAGAGTAGTGATTGTCGTCACCCCACAGAGTAGTGATTGTCATCACCCCACAGAGTAGTGATTGTCGTCACCCCACAGAGTAGTGATTGTCGTCACCCCACAGAGTACTGGTTGTCGTCACCCCACAGAGTACTGATTGTCGTCACCCCACAGAGTACTGATTGTTGTCACCCATGGAGTATTGTTACTCTCGGAGTATTGGCATCACCTTTGGAATATTATCACCTGCAGAGTATCGTCACCCGTGGGGTGCTATCAACACCCCTGGAGTTGTGTGTTTTATTCATTTTCCCATGCACTTTTTCAGTTAAATTTACAAAAATTCACTTTGGTATACAGTATATGGTAGAGGAGCTTTATAAGAGCTGACTTTGCACACATATTTGCAGCTTAATGCTCGGAGAGTGCCATATTCTTGACTCCAGTGAGATTAGTTTTTTGTATAATGAAAGTTGTGTAATTGTTTATATTTCCTTACTCCATCTGTCATAGGTTTGCCGAGGCTATGAAACAGATTTTAGTAGGGCTCTTTCCATATTTAATACTTATGTTCTTTAGAGATTTCAGCAGATACAGTTAGCATGAATATTGTATTACAGATTGCTGTCTATGTAACTGAATTTTTTTTTATTTGTGGGTCATTTTATATTTGAGGCCTTAAATATTTTAACGTTAACACTGACATTCATATGAAGTGTTATTTAAGTGAGGAAGGTGATGCTGGGATGAGTATGTAGAAGTCTTCAAAAGGAAACTGGACAAGTAACTTCAGCAGGTGCCAGATCAGTCAGGCTGTGATGGATATGTGGGGCAGCAGGCCACCAGCAGCAACAGCCTGGTTGACCAGGCAAGCACCAGACCAGCCTGGCCTATGGCTGGGCTCCAGGAGTAGAAGAACGCTTTGAACTCATCAAAGGTATATCAAGGTTTAAGGTGGGTGAGGGGACATGCGCAGTGCACATTTTGAAAAAAGTGTGCTTGGTTTTCGGTTTGTGGTTCCACGACAAATGAAAATGCATATTGGTAAACAGCATACCCTTTTCCTCGTGAGTGATCCTTAAGGGAAAAACAAGCAGTATGATGAATTTGGCTAGTGAATTTGTAGGGATTACTGCTTATTAACCCTTAAATGGTCCAAACGTATATATACGTTTTTTCAACATCTGAAAGTATGTAAAAAATGTAGATCTTTTTTGTTTTACATTTGAAAACGTGTAAAAAAAACTTTTATCTACATTTTTTTTTGGTTACAATTGAAAATGTTAAAAAAAGTAGATCTACTTTTGTAGCACTACGAATTTGAATGTCAATCTGTTTGGACTGTTTAAGGGTTAAATAATGTCGCTGAAATCAGAGTACAGCCTCTCCTCACTTAGTGACGTACTCATTTATTGATGACTCGGACTTACGACTACCTCTCTTACCAGTATGCATACCTAAATAATGTATATTAGAGCTGATTTCATCTGTTCTGTTTATGACAATATACAGTACACTGCTGTATAAACATTTAAAAATGCGTATACTGAAAATGTTATTAATGGTGCAAAGGTGATATTAAAACAATATCAAAGATGGTTGACACAAACCAACTACCATTATAGTATGCTCCTTGCTTAGTGATGAATTTGTTTACTGATGTTGTCATAGGAACAGAACTCCGTTGTTCAAGTGAGGAGAGGCTGTATGTGTATACACCTACCATCCGACTTATGACCTGCTCAATTTACGACCACTCGACTTATGACCGTGTTTTTTATGCCAAATTTCTGGGAAATAAACAACTATTTGTGTTGTACACAGTGTTTATCCTAAACCTTACTGTATAGAATACAGTACTAACAGCATAAAAAGTAAAGTAAAACATGAAATACCAAAATAAAACAATAAAATAGTCATTACAAAAATGTTTTGTTGATATTCAGTAGTAAAATTCAACTTAAGACCATTTCGACTTACGACCGGATGGTAGGTGTATTTTATATACAAGAGAATTAACTTTTGTCAAGGGTAGATCCACATGTGTATGTTTTGTGATGTGGTTATTAATAACGTTTACAAAGCATTCTTACAAAAAAAATTAATGTATGTATTTCTGTAAGTGATAATTTTGCAATCTTTCAGGAAACTCAGCGGCTTATGGCTGAACCTGTTCCGGGTATCTCAGCCGTCCCAGATGAAACGAATGCCAGATACTTTCATGTAGTGGTAGCAGGTGGGTAGGGAGTTTCATTTGTTTTCTGGTTTCATATTTTAATTTTAAATTAAGTGTTGTGAGTATGTAGGCCTACCCATGTTTGACAAATTTAAAGAAATTTTGTATTATTCCAAACATGAGCTGTACAATCCCTGGAGGTTTAGCATTTAGTTATAATTGTAAGATCATAATTCCAAAACATAATCATGCTTTCTACGTTGGTTTAGGTAGCTTGACGAAGGTTTATTCTCATTTTTTTTTCTCCTTTGTGAATATCAGGTCTAGTGTTGGTGTGTTGCCTTCTTTCACATGTGTAAGTTTATTTAGGTATGGGTACACACAAGTACAATTATCATATATAGTGTAAATTACCTTGGATAACCCAAAAATGTCAGTGACTTGTTTCTATTGGGGTTATCTTGAAATATGCTAATGATTAAAGATAGTCATTACACTGAGGTAATTTAGCTTATCATTTATTTACAGTAATTCCAGCCTCTTGGGCTGTTCAGTCTGTTTCTTTATACAGATGGTGGTATCCACTATTACCATGATTTTGACATTTTCATGGTCACTTTTTTTATTGATGGTTGTCTTGGTTTTCTATGTAGTCTTTTTGCAATTTCTGCTCTTTCCTGGCATTGTTAAACTGGACCGTATGCATTTGCAATGCTAATTTTTAATTTTTGTTCTGGATTTATATCACTAGGATTTGACTTTTTGTTACTGAGCATCACTGACCCTAAGTGGGAAGTTCTTTCTCAAGAACAGGTATTTTATATACAACTTGAAGCACATTCTTGTTGACATTTCAATCCTGGTCTTCCCATGTTTTATGCCCAGTGGGGACTTGACTTGCCCCTCTTAGTAGACTAGCCAAGGACCCTAATCAGACTAGTCTTATCAACATATCCTGATATTTGCCTAGTCTTCCCATGGATGTGCTTGTTCATCTTATAGCCTATACCTACACAAGCAGTCGTCTGCCCTACAACAGAGCTCACGGTGCCAGGGCACGACAGGCTCTGGTATCTGCTTGCAGAGTGTGTCTGTGATTGCATTCTTGTGCTCACCATTGTTGCTTGTCCTAGTGCTTGTGTGTTTTCAGTGACAGATTTTATGGGCTTGCAGTATGTCATCACAAAGTTTACTTCATTCCAATGCAGGCTTTACCCAAGGCCTAGTATGGTGACCATCATCTGCATCATTTCTTCCAAGATCTGTAGGTGTCCAAAGAAAGTGCCTACCATACTTATCACGTTCTTGTCTCTTGCTTGTCCCTGTTTGGATGGCACTGCCGGTTTCTGGGTACTGTGGGTACAACTCCAGTTCGACCCAGAAAACTGCATTTTGAATGCTGAGAAATCTGAATTGGGAGCCTGTTGTATTGAGGGTTCCACGTCCCCTAGCTGTGATGCTTCACTTGACAAATGAAGCTTGGATGTATGTACCCCACTTGGCACCTATGCACCACAACCCTTGACAACAATAAAGCAATGGTTTAAATTTATAAACCTTACAACAAAATCTGTACTGGTCAAAACTATACTTTGAAAAGTATTCCTTTACATTCATTGGGCTTAATATGTTGTTGCTCTCATACTGTTCATTTTCTGTATACTAATTGTATGTAATGGAGAACAAGTACAATACTGTAGTTGTATTTGCAGTTTGTCAGTGTCTTTTGTGTTAACTTTTTCTTCCTTTTTGCCTAGTTGAGAAGATTTTTCATAGACTGGACACACTCGATGTTCCAGAGATAGTTACTGTGTCGGCTGGGCATGACGGCTCTTTATGATCCAGGCTTTCAATATTTGTAGGGTTTTCTCCCAACTTGTAGTATACGTACACTGTGGTTGCTACTTCAACCTTTGATCTGTGAATGGTGGTAGTGATTTAGAGGTAGTTAAAAGTGTTGGCAGTTATTTTGTAATATTTTTTCTTGCATTACAGAACACCAAAACCTGAATATAAAGCATTATAACTATGAAAAAGATTACAGGCACTCCTCCCATAATGACCTACCTGTTTAACGACTGTTCAGACTTATGACCAGCTCTCCGACCAGTATGGAAATCTAAGTAATGTATCTAGAGCAGTACACTACTATATAAACATTTAAAAATATACTGTACTAAAAATGTTAGAAATGGTGCAAAGGTGATATTAAAACAGTAAAGATGGTTGACACAAACCCACTACCAATACGGTATGCTTATCGCTTATCGACTAATTCGCTTAATGACCTAGTTGTAGGAACGGAAGTTGGTTGTTAAATGAGGAGTGCCTGTAGTACAGTAGGTCTCCATTTTCCAGAGCTGTTGGGGACATTTTTCAAAACCTTGGATAATCACTCGCTTTTTTTTATGGTCCCTATAGTTAACACATTCCTTTTCTGCATTATCTGTTAAGGTGTTATACAAAAATGACTGCTGGATGACATTAATTGCTGAATAGGCCATCACCCTGTAATCGATGATCTACTATAGAAAATAGTTTCAGGCCTAAATGTTCATTTTGATTTTGTCATTTAAAAATAAACTGTTGCTCTGAATAAAAATGTACGCAAAGGCATCAAGTAGCACTGCACTCCATATGGTTTGAAATGTTCATTGAACTCAAATAGTAAACTTGATACTTAGAAGCATTTTGAGATAGGATGTGCAGTTGCTGAAGTGTACTATAGTACATGAATGATTTGTAATTTTGGTGTATGATTTCTTTATTAGGTCCAGAAGGGTCACCATTTGAGGGTGGCGTGTTTAAATTAGAGCTGTTCCTGCCAGAAGAGTATCCAATGAGTGCTCCAAAAGTCAGGTAGGTAGTGTAGGTTTTTTCAAGTACAATTATATATTCAGGTTTTTTTATTATGTCAGTAGTATGATGATGCATAGGCCATTCTTTCCCCTTCTGCACATCCTTTGATGGGTCTCGTGAATCCATGTACATTGAACACTTAACTAACGTGATTATTTATAAGTTTATTATGCTCTTGGTGTTGACTCAGAAGGGAGCAATGAAAAAAAAATGGGATTTACCCTGATTGCGTGTACAGCCAACCCATTATCAGATTTATAAGTTAGTTTCCCTTTCATTGTAAGTAATATCTAATTTTAACATATATTTGCATATGGGCTTTTCATCATGACATGATTAATGCTTATAATGTCATAAGTGCAACTTTGACCTGCTCTTCCATCAATTCTACTTGCTCCTCAAAATGTTCATCATGAATTAATACTTATCTAACCAACTAAACCTAACCTGAATAACACATGTAGATAAACGTAAGAAAAAATTGTGAAAAAGCTATCACTATTTCATTGTTTATTTATATCTGGAGACAGCAAGACTGTTGCATTTTGACTTGTATGTATGTTAGCATTTCTGTTTGTGATTTATGTGAATCAGTAACTGTTGCAAAGATGTAGACAGGTTGCCACAGCGATCAGTCAAGTAAGTGAGGATGTAAAATAATAATAATAATAATAATATAATATCTTTATTTACTACAAGTACATGTACATGGTATACAGGCCTAGCTGACATCACTGATATACTACTATATAGAAAGCCACTTGTTATGCAGAGCATTTCGGGGAAATTAGGTCCTTGTCCCAGGTTGTGACCCACACCAGTCGACTAACTCCCAGGTACCCATTTTACTGATGGGTTAACATAGACAACTGGTGTAAAGAAACATGCCCAGTGTTTCTACCCATGCTGGGAATCAAACGTAGACCCTCGCCATGTGAAGCGAGAGCTTTAGCGATCAGGCCACGAGGCACATGGTAATTTTGCTCCCCTACCTTTCCATGAACTTTTATACAAAATTGTGATGAATTTAATGTGAAAAGGCTACTTTTGAGGAAGTTTGAGGGTGTGTCTTTGGTCACATAATTCTGAGGAAAAAAAGATACAGAGTAGTGAGATGTTCTCATCCATGGGTGCCGATCCTGGTGGTATCAAGCATGTTTCTGCTGGTCCTCGGGTTTCATTTGAAGCTTTATATCCTACAGACTTTTCCTTCTTCTTCAGTACTGTTTTAATTTTGTTGTATCTTGGGGGTCCTCTTTTTTTTTACCTGTTTTCAATTACTGTACATATACGTGTGTATATGGATATACGGGGGGAGGGGAGGGTGGATATCCAGATTTGCTATCTGTTGGTATAGGAGCAGGGCCAATCTTGTGGTGTCCCATTTAGTGTATCATAAAGTTTTTAGTGCTTGTAGCAATTACTACTACATCCTGTAAACCATTCAATTGATCTACCACACTGTTTAGTAAACAAAAATTGACCCAAGCTGTTTGCCTGACTGAAAATAAGACATGTTTTGTGTGATATATGGTGAAACTCCTACTTTGTCAGTAGAATGTTTGAAATTATTTTATGCGAATGTGTAATGAAATCATCCCAAACCATGGTACGGGTGAGGTTTGAACCTATGGTGAGCAAATCATAAAACTCCAGGCCAGTACGTAAGCCACTGGACTGGCTGGCTACAATAAAATTCATCCATCTAGGTATGTTTATACACAATAGGGAGGCTAGCATGGGCCACACACTGACCATAGATACAAGTTTTTACAGATGAATCTCCCACCAGCATGGCTGTGGCAAACTCTAGCCCAAGTCCCCTCAAAGCACTTGTGGTCACAGTGGGACCCTTGCTAACCTCCCTGTGGTGTATAAATTAACCTAGCTGGATGAATCTCATTGTAGCCAGCTGGCCCAGTGGCTTATGCACTGGCATGGAGTTTCACGACTCGCTTGCCATGGTTTCAAACCCCACCCGTATTGTGGTTTGTTGCAATTGTGTTATTACGATTTTGTGAGTAAAGAAATGAACCCAGTTTGGTTTTGATGTTTTCCAATAACATATGCACTTATCTGCTGTAATATTATTTAGCACTGCAACATTACTGTGATTGCATTTTCAAACTGCAACATTAACCAACATTAATACGTAATTAAAGTACAGTGCCTGCACTCTGAAGGAGGGGTGTTAATGTTGCAGTTTAACTGTAGTGTATAGCACCCTTCTGGCAAGACAGTGATGGAATGAATGATGGTGAAAGTTTTTCTTTTTCGGGCCACCCTGCCTTGGTGGGAATCGGCCAGTGTGTTAATAAAAAAAAAATAAATAATAATAATTAAAGCAAGATGTAATATTTGTTCTTTATATTCTTGCTTTAATAAACACTTCACTTTATAGTCCTTGTGCATCCTCTTAAGACTTCAATTTTTAATTGTTTATGTGACTTATAATGCAGTGATTCAATCTTTCCTTACAGGTTCATGACGAAAATTTACCATCCCAACATTGATAAATTAGGAAGAATTTGTCTAGATATCCTTAAAGGTAAGTTCGTACAGTATTTTGATAGAATGTGTTACTGTGAACACAGTTCCAGATAGCTTAAATATTGGACTTGAACGTAAATATTTGAGAGATGTACTTGTGATTTTATGAAGTTGATTGGCAATATATACTAATTGCATTGAATACTTTGATCATTGAAGAATATTGAAGTCAAACATACAATGGTACTCTTAGCACTTTAAAATTGTGCTTACACACTGTAATAAACACAGTTTAATAAATGTTTGTTTTGTCATTTAGATAAGTGGAGTCCAGCACTGCAGATTCGTACAGTGTTGCTGTCGATTCAAGCACTTCTTTCAGCACCCAACCCAGATGATCCACTAGCTAATGATGTTGCTGAACTTTGGAAGGTACAGTAATTTTGGAAATTGAAATGGTAGTTTATACAAGATTATATGTTCTTAAGACAAATGTTACAAGCTGGTGGGGATATTATTTGGAGTGACATGCACCTGTTCATTATATGCATAAGAGAAAAAGTACCTAGGGAGTCTCAGACTGAGCTGCGGGGGCGTTGACCCCCAGAACCCCCTCCAGGTATACTCCAAGTATATGGGAAAAGTGGATAAATGAGAGCAAGAATTATAGGTGAATAATTATTACATTCATGAGGAGTACTAAACCTGTGGGGGTCATACAGTGTTTGGGGAAATGGAAGGTACGTATTTAGACTAATTCAAGGAATTGGAGCACACTTCAAGTTCCTTAGATCAAGAATCCCTCACCAGCATCAAGGGATATCCCCTGAGGGGTGTAGGGGAATTATCCCATTAAGTATACTATGTAAAATACAGTGGACCCTCGCCTTACGATCAGCTCCCAACTCGAACAATTATGCAAGTGTATTTTTGTAAGTGCTTTTGTATGTGTATTTTTGGGGGTCTGAAATGGACTAATCTAATTTAAAATATTCCTGATGAGAGCAGATTTGTTCGGTAATGGCACCCGAACAGACTTCTGGAATGAATTAATATCGTAAGTCGGGGGTCCACTGTTAGGTTAGGGTGTGTAGGAGAGGGGGGAGGATTATTTTCCAGTAAAAGTTGGTCTTGGATGGATGCGAGATGTTACCCTGTTGTAACATATTAAAGATGGGATTGTATGAGAAAATGTTGGTGTTGGGAATGGTGTAAGCTTAAGAGATAATAAATCTGATATAAAGTAAGAGTTCTCATAATTGATATTGGCCTGTGACAGGGTTCTTTTGGAAGATTCTGAAGGAGGTTAGTAGATGAATGTGGGAGGGTATGTAAAAGAAGAAAAGAGCAAGGTAATGAGATTGAAATATCCAGGAAATGGAAAATTGAATAGATTGGGGGGGATATGGAGGGAATAATTGCTTGTAGATATTTGGGAATGAACTTGTCGGTAGATGGGTGTATGAAAGACTAGGTGAAGCATAGAATTGATAAAGAGGAAAAAGATGGGTGGTATTGAGGTATCTTTGGAGACAAAGAATTTTATATATTGAGGCAAAAGGGGGGAATGTACCAGAGTATAGTTGTGCCAACAATTAATGTAGTTGTGAATCGTGAGTTTTAAATGTCATACTGGGAGGAGGCTGGAGGCAGTGAGCATGTGAAGTCAGTGTGGTATGAATGTTCTGCAGAGAGTTTTGAGTGGGGATTAAAAGGTGTATGGTTACCAAGAGTTTTATTCAGAGAGTAGAGGTGGTGTTGGTGTGGACATTCAGTAATGTGTAAAAAGTAGGTAACTGGCGGAGAGCGTGTATATTTCCTTTATATAAAGGGAAGGGGGGGGACAAAAGAGAATGTAAAAATTATAGGGGGAGAAGTTTACTGAGTATACCAGGTAAGTGTATGGTAGTGTTGTTATTCAGAGAATTAGAGGTAAGACAGAGAGCAGGATTGTAGATGAACAAAAGAGGCTTTAGAATGGGTAGGGGATGTGTAGAGCATAAAAGTGAACAATATTTACATAAAGGTAGGGAAGTTTTTGTTGCCTTTATGGATTTAGAAAAGGCATATGATAGGGTGGATAGGGGAGCAATGTGGAAGATGTTGCAAGTGTATGGAATAGGTGGTAAGTTACTAAATGCTTTTACAGTTTTTATGAGGAGGGAGATTACTTTCCAGTAAAAGTAGGTCTTGGTAGGTTTAACATGTTTATAGATGGGGTTGTAAAAGTAGTAAGTGCTAGGGTGTTGGGGAGAGGAGTGAGATTAAATTATGGGGAATCGAATATAAAATGGGAGTTGACAGTTACTTTTTGCTGATACTGTGCTTTTGGGAGATTCTAAAGAGAAGTTGCAAAGGTTAGTAGATGAGTTTGAGGGTGTGTAAAGGAAGAAAGTAGATAGTGAACATAGATAAGAGTAAGGTTATCAAACAAATTAGGTAAAGAAAAATTGGATATCACATTGGAAGGAGGGAGTATGGAAGAAGTGAATGTGTTCAGATATTTGGGAGTAGATTTGGCAGCAGATGGGTTTATAAAGGATGACGTAAGCCATAGAATTGATGAACAAAAAAGGGTGGGTGGTGCATTGATATCTTTGGAGACAAAGAACGTTATCCATGGAGGCAAAGAAGGGCTGTTTGCGAGTATAGTGGTACCCACACTCTTATATGGGTGTGAGGCATTGGTTGTAAATGCTGCAGCAAGGAGGCTGGAGACAGTGGAGATGCCGTGTCTAACGGCAGTGTGTAGTGTAAATGTTATGCAGAGAATTTGTAGTGTGAAAATTAGGAGGTGTGGAATTGCTAGAAGTATTATTCAGCAGGCTTAGGAGGGGTTGTTGAGATAGTTTAGTCATCTAGAGAAGATGGGGCAAAATATGACTTGGAGGGTGTATAAATCTGTAGTAGAGGGAAGGAGAGAGAGGGGCTGTCCTAGAAAAGGATGAAGGGAGTGGGTAGAAGAGGTTTTGTGTGCAAGGAGCTTGGACATACAGCAGGCATGTGTGAGCATATTAGATTGAAGTGAATGGAAACAAATGATTTTTGGGACTTGATGAGCTGTTGGTGCGAGCAGGGTAATATTTTTGAAGGGATTCAGGGAAATCGGTTAGCCAGACTCGAGTCCTGGAGGTTGGAGGTACAGTGCCTGCACTTTAAAGGAGGGGTTTAAGATTTTGGAGTGACATCTGAACTGTTGTATCTAAGTGCCTCTGCAAAGACAGGGAGTGTGTGAAAAATATTGAAAATGTCTCTCTTTTGGGTCACCCTGCCTCGGTGGGAGATAGCTTAAGTTGACCACATTTCTTTGATACCTTTATAAGCTAATGAAATATATATTTGAACTTGGCAATACATCTTTACTATTTTTCACAGGTGAACGAATCCGAGGCGATTCGTATTGCACGGGAATGGACGCGCACTTACGCCATGGGCAACTAGTGCTTGCCTTTATATAAATTTTTATTGAAAGGATATAACTTCTCAGGATCAACAGCACATTATGTTGATGAAAGAGTGCAGTCCTTAGTCAAAACAAAAGGTACCAACATCAACATGAGCCGCCAAAACACGTGGATCGCCATCCGCTACAAATGAGGGTTAGCTGCTGTTAACAGTCCTTACTGATAAGTATTACCCTTGGCTGTTTTCTACTCCAGTTGTAGGCCAGCAGATGTGTGGAGTACTGGGTGACCTTGGTGGCCCTACAGGTTATATCTGTGGATCATATGTTGGCTTGCTGCCAGTTGACTAAGAATTTTATCCCTTGAAAAAAAAAAATTGTTTTTGGCCACGACATTTTTTTCTTGTACATTTGTTCTAGTCTCTTGTTATTTGGATATTTCTTAAAGTTGAAGATTAGAGCAGAACCATCTGCCACTTCAAATTAACACGAATTCCAATAAACACGAGTTTTGTGTGATTTTTCAAGGTGATCATTTGTAAGTATTTTCATTTGTCCCTGTCTTGGATTCAGTGATTTTTTTTTCTTGGGTGGGGGGGGGGGGGGGAGGTCACATCTTGAGAAAAGGTATCATGTTGTTTGGCCCTGTATCTACAGTGCCTTTTTGTCTGTTTTTATCTCCACTGCAAGGCTTTTTAAATGTTAGGATTTATTTCTTACGCTTAATGGAAAAAGAAGTCGAGCAACTGCAGCACAGGGCCAGAGAACATTCTGAGCATCACAGCAACATGTATAGCTGTATTTTTGTGGGTAACATGTTTGTTCCTCAAAGAAATTTATTCTGATATATCATATTTGATCAGAGAAACTTGTACAATTTTTTGTGCTGTGTGTCCCAAAAAATGAAAGACAACAATTATATTGTCAACCTTGTATGCTGAGTGTAAGTAGATCTCACAAGTACGGGTTCAGTAAGTGTTTACTAAACAGAATTCTGTAGTAAATTTTTTTTTTTTTTTAATCAGATTTTTCTCTTGATGCAAAACCATCTTCAATTTAGGTATAATGAACTGTAAAAAGTGTTTGAAATATATTCAATTGGTGATCCCATGCTTTTTTTTTAGCATTAAGCGTAAAATATATACATTGTATATACAGTATATATATATATGTGTGTGTGTGTGTGAAAGTTAATGCTTTAGGATTGTTTCTGGAATGGTGAATGCAGTACAAGGTTACAGTGGGGTAATAACTAATGGAAATAGTATAAGACTGGTGAGGATCATGACAGCATAGCTTTTGAAATGGTGCATAGAATTACTAAATTACTTGTCTATATAGTGAATGTTTTTGGGACACAACAGTACACTGTGGTATCTACAGAAATACTGCTTTAGTACCATGTAATCAATGTCCTATGTAAATGACTCATTCCACATAGTGTGTATTATTTGATAGGCCTTATGATGAGAGAGTAATCTTGCATTACTTTTTCTGTCACCCCTATTTCCATAAATATGCCTGTATTAATGCTTGCAAGAAGAAATGGAAAAATTGGCAATAAGATTCAATCTCAAAGTGAAATTTTGTATGCTGCTTTAGAGTAAAGACTAATAAACTATTTCTGTTTTATTTAAGCCTCAAGATTATTGTGGTTATATATAGTATCCTTCCATGGAAGTGCAGGGCTCTTGATCCAAGGAATTGGAGCTGCTCTCCTCTTCCTCATATCAAACTTAATTACCTAGCATTACCCCAGGTGCTGAATGATCCCTTTGGGTTCAGCTCTTCTGAGGTTTCTGCAGCTTTGTCATCCTCCATTCATACTAAAACAAAAAATAACCTGTAACAATATGTAGTGTATCCATTGTTACATTCATTTATATTCAAAAACAAGCACAATCAATGCGAGTCATATAGCATTATATTCACAGAAGGCACCAATATACATTTCACAATTCTTTGTAGAAGGAAACCAAATATTTGATCTATTGAAAAGTTAGTATAGGGAAGGTATTTTGCCAATGATTTTTTTTTTGTTTTTAATAGCTTACAGGATCGATCAAACTTTAATACAGTCAATGCATTATTGTACCTAGTTTACATACAGACATTTTAATAAAAAAAATATAAACATGACATGAAACATTATCCAGATTGTATAATTAGATCAATACTTTCCAGGAATTCTAACTTTTAAAACAGTTAGGAGACCCTATCATTAATTCATAAGTGTTCCACTGCAGTATTAAAATAACATGTATCTCGATCATCCCTCGAGTCATTTTTACAACTTCATCTCGCTAACCTAACCATTTTTTGTCATAGTTCCATAGTATGGAAAGTCCCAAGTAAGGACTCTTAGTAGAGACCAGGACCTTGCCTGAAAAAAATAAGAGGGACTGGCATTATGCACACCATATAAAATACCTGTATCTCCAAATTCCTGCTTGGCTGCTAGATTGAACTTTTGAGGATTAGAAGTCCAGAGCAATTTCTGCTCCACTACAGCACCCAAGTTCATCTTGCACTAACAAAAAAAATTGAGACTTTGTAAGGAATACAATGCACTAATAAGACTACACAATTATCACAAAAAAAAAAAAAATATGTACTGATACTCGAGCATCACTCGTGTGATATGTCTGAAGATCAGTCAGACTTATATTAAGGCAACTAATTGGTGTTTTGCATGAAATATAGTTTGTCATACAAATGCCTCACTACAACTTTACAGTTAAACCTTCATATACATGTAATGCATACTATTTTTTGCTATTGTACTTTCATCAGCCGACAAACCAAAAGTTATCTGCTATATGACAAGAAACCGAGACTTGAATCAGTGATATTTTTCCTAATGAAATATGGTAATATTTTAACTAGCATTTATTGGGGTGGAGGTACTATGAGCAAAGTTTTTTCAAAAACCTTAAAAATGCATGTTTAACAATGAACTATGTTGGTCTGACTATTCTATGTGTAACCTTCAAAATATTTAAATTTTCTTCTCCACAATAAACACAATATTATACTCTATTATGGAAAAAAAAAAAGCAGAAACAGACCAGTGTAACACTCCAAGCTCAAAATAGCACCTAAACCTCTCTCTACCTCAAGATTAGTACTGGTCAAGGTAGAGAGAGTTAGTGTTAGGATGAGAGAAAACTTTGGTTAGTCAGTACCTTGTGGTAAATTTGTAAAATTAGACCATTATTCACTCCCTAACACATCAAGAGTTTAGAAGTACAGTATTCAACAAGTACATCAGTTCATCAGACAATATTCTCCAAATTCAGAATATCAATTTTTTTCTTATTCTCCGCTCTGATCCTCTTCACCTTGTCTTCGAGCCTGTCGCCGATTCCTCCATCTTTCTGCAATTGAGGCTATGAAATTGTTTATTAAAAACTTATTAAAATATCTACAGGTATAACAAGTGAAAAAAAACGGTATAGCAGTACAACAATGGGATTAATATTTGGTATTCCCCGAATGAAGCCTAGAACAAGATGCCTTAAAACAAAAATAATGTAGCCTTTAAAGAAAGAATTAAATGAAGCACAAAGTGCTGACAACGATGTACATATGGAAACAAGCAAGGGGTAAATTTTAACTCTAATTTGCATGTAAAGATTATCATGGTATAAACCTTGGTAATAAATACCGACAAGTTAGTTTAGAAAGACACGTAAGCAAACACTATGACATATTTATTAGAAAACGTTTCGGTCCTGGGACCTTGATCACTTCTAACATACAGAGGTAGAAAGGCATTATATATATAGGCGGAGTGAGGTGTGACGCACGTGACCTGAGGAATGTCATAAGAACATAAGAATGGAGGAACACTGTAGAAGGCCTACTGGCCCATGCGAGGCAGGTCCTTATCAAAACAACCTCTGCCTATGAGGAGGACGGGTAGACGATGAAATCATGTGACTCCTGTGTTGTTGGGTTGGTGGTGCTTAAGTATCATGTATGCCAATGTTTTTTAAATTTTGTAGTTTCCAGTGTTGCGTTCTATAGTGTTGGTGACAGCGATTAGTGAGGCTTCTAGGCACCGTCGGCGTCTGAGGTCTGGTTCGGTGAGAACGAGTTGTGCCTCATTCCAGTTCATCAAATGTCCCGTGGAGTCTCTGTGGAGAACACAGGCGTACCTTACATCGTCTCTGTTAGAGGCATTTCGATGCTCATTCAGGCGGACTGCAAGATCTCTGCCTGTACCGCCTACATATTTCTTGGGACAGAACCCACAGGGGATAGTGTAGATGCCTGCTGTAGAAGTTAGAGGTGTGGGGCTGCGTTTCGTAGTGAGGTCTTTGATAGATGATGTGTTTATGGTGGAAATGATGTTACTCATAGCAAGTGCCCGGCGAGTATTCGTGGCAACATTACCACATGGGAGTACTATGAACTGCTTAGGGGGCTGTTCCATGGGCGGTTTGTTGAGAATAGCTTGTGCCTCGCATGGGCCAGTAGGCCTTCTACAATGTTCCTCCATTCTTATGTTCTTATGACATTCCTCAGGTCACGTGCGTCACACCTCACTCTCCGCCTATATATATAATGCCTTTCTACCTCTGTATGTTAGAAGTGATCAAGGTCCCAGGACCGAAACGTTTTCTAATAAATATGTCATAGTGTTTGCTTACGTGTCTTTCTAAACCAAAGATTATCATACCTAACAGAGATGCACTGGCATAACTGCTACTAAAGTGAAGATGGCAAGATCAAGCCAAAGAAAACAAGAGCACAGGGTAAATTAATAAAGGATTTATACACTTAATAAAAGAACTGGGACACTTAAAGAGTCCAGTTTCATGAGTACTATATGACATGAGTGATGGAAGCACAAATTACCATGGCAGGATCTAGCAGTCTCATTCAGGAATTCAAATACTCTAGTGTGTAAATAAATATAAGGAGGGGGGGGCTTCCCTATCCGTACTGATCTAACCTTGAATTGATTGTCTTCTTCCTTTATTAACAGCCAGATCTGTATATATTGTTAGATTTGATCAAGCCTGTAGAGGCAATCATTTAAAAATTGCTCCCTATATAAAAAGGAACTAAAAGACAAACAGTTACTGCAATGTGAGGTGGTCATTGAACTCGGTTCTTTAGTACTGGACCACACAAAATATAGACATGTTGACAAAGAACTGTGGAGGTTTTGCATGAGGCACTAACACTACTACAGTAACCATATATACTACAAAGACACATTTGCCATGGGATTTCAGTCTTTTGAGAAGTGTATTAAACCCATTTTCCATTAAGTAACATGGTGTTTCATGCATAATCTCTCTTATGCCACTTTGTTTTTACAAAGTTTCACATACACCTCCATACTCACCAAATTCTCAGTCACCATACTTTTTCAGTTTATCCTGCTTCAGTTTTTTGATTTCAAGTCTGTTTCCATTTCCCTCACTGCCATTCACTTATTCATCCATCCTATGACTTGATAAACCTGAAAAGCTGATGTAACTTACTGCCACGTCTGATTTGGTTAAGTGAAGCCAACATGCGAATCATGAAGGTCGCAGGCACTGTGATGGTATCACGTGTCTCTTCTAACAGTGCTTCATTACGTTGAGTTATCTGAAGAAGCAATAATGAAGTTGTACACAAGGCTACAATTAAGGTCAAGACTTTTCAATGGGACTGAAGTAAAAGTGATATTTTTATGATTGGTATATAAACTGAAAAGTAGATGAACAAAACACATAAGCAACACTTGGGTATCTTTACTGTGGAGGTATTTTGCTAATAAATGCTTCTCCTGTATAAATTATTAAATGTAAAAAGAAAAATGAATTTTTTTTTTTTAGGTACTCCTGCTCTGGTGGGAGATGGCCGACCATGCAAGTTAAAAAAAAAAAAGTTTTGCTACCAATAGTTTTATTAATCCAATAAATTATTCTCTGTATTGGACTAATAAAACCACTGGTGGCAAATGTTAATTTTTCTTTTTCAACATGTCAGCCATCTCCCACCAAGGCAGGGTGACCCAAAAAAAGAAACACCTTCACCATCATTCACACATAATCACTGTCTTTGCATAGGCGCTCAGATACGACTTCAGATGTCACTCCAAACAGCCAATATCCCAAGCCCCTCCTTTAAAGTACATATGTTAAATTATCAAAAGAAAATTGACTGCTCTTGCCCACCTCTTGAGCCTTGGCTTCATCAAAACGTGATTCCTCGCACATAGGGGCCCAAAGTTTTAGATCATAGTCAATGCCTGAAGTAGCTAACACTGGGAGAGTTGGGTGCGGTTGTAGGCAGTTTACGACATGTCGGTCAGCCTCCCACAACATTACCAGTCGCCCAGTCTTACGCTCCCAGACAAAAACACGACCACAGTCAGAGCCTGACATGACGTGATCATCTCCCCAGAAACAAGCTTCCTTTATCATAGTTCTGAAAGTAAAGATAAAGTAATGGTTAATAAATCATGAATAATAATACACCTACCATCCGACTTACGACCTGCTCGACTTACGACCACTCGACTTACAACCGTGTTTTTTATGCCAAATTTCTAGGAAATAAACAACTATTTGTGTTGTACACAGTATTTATCCTAAACCTTACAGTATAAAATACAGTACTAACAGCATAAAAAGTAAAGTAAAACATGAAATACCAAAATAAAACAATAAAATAAAGTCATTACAAAAATGTTTTGTTGATATTCAGTAGTAAAGTTCAACTTACGACCATTTCGACTTACGACCGGTTTCTCGGAACCGAACTCTGTCGTAAGTCGATGGTAGGTGTAATAATATACAGTAGATTTGTCTTGGTACAGAAAAAGGCCGTGGAAGAATGCAAAGGTTACCAATATTGAAATTGGCTGGTCAAAGGCAATGACCTAACTAGGTTTGACATACAAAAAATTAATGAAAAGTACCATAAACATCACATGTGACATCAGACATAACCACCTTTTAGAATTCTAAGCCAAAGATAGCATTAGCATGGCAATCGTCCTACCACGGAAAGGTCACCACCCTAAGGGTGGGTGTAATGGTTAGCATGAAAATTGTGTGAAAATTGTTTGCCCTAGCAATTATAACCATAAAAATTATTGCAAAGACAGGCAAACAGAGAATGATTACTACAATGATGCACCCAACAGAAGATTTTCTAGGAATGAAAATCCACTGTTTAGTAGGGTAACTCCATAAAAAAAGGACTAACAATGTAAGCATACAGTGTGTACAATATGAAGGATAACCAACCTGGCATTTCTATGACCTTTATAGCATTGCTTCACAGCTGCCTGGGGTACTGCATTCTCAGCCTCACCTCCAACGCCTGGAGCACGTTCTCCTCTTGCCCGCTGAACTGCACGCTCAATTGCACTAGCCATGCGGGCACTGGCCGTCCTGAAAATAAATTTTTAAAAGTCAATGTAAGTATGTACAAAGTAAAATATTTAGAAACTAGAAATAACTTCAGGTGGTATACACACCATATCATGATGCACTACTTTCACCCAAACCATTCTTTTTTTTCTCTCTAAGATTCTCCTTATTTCTTTCACAATAATAGTGTAATGGTGAAAAAGTGAATAACTTAAATAACAAAAATAAGTGCCTTTAGTGTATCACTGGGAGATCTAGTAAATCTGTGTACAGAACATTCCATCTTTCAGTGCCAAACTTTCTATCAGTTTTACAAGCCTCAGTTAAATGGGATGAACTAAATAGTTTATAGAGGATAACATATACCAAGTTTCATGGTGTCTTTATGTGGGTAAAGACACAAAGGTAGTACAGTGCACTTGCTTTGGTGTCTTTATCTATCATGTCGATATTTTATACCATTCCGCTCCCTCATGTCTTGTGTAATGGCTAGGGACAAAATGGGTTTGGGCACCTGCAACCTGAGATATACCTGCTATAGATTTCAAAGGTTATATTACCCTACCAGCACTGACATGGTTATTGCTTATGATGTTTCTCACTACACACTTCGGTTTATCATACACGACATTATGATAATATTTATACTTCAGGGCCTTCCTTAACCTTCGTAACATATTGTGGTATCACCAGCCGGTCCTTACAACACACTTCCTCACTCTCACATCCAAAATATCAATTCTTATTGAACGACTCATGTCTTAGCACTTTTAAAAACCATCATCATATGCATACTAACTCCCAGAGCTAAAAGTGTGTCTTCTTACCTTGCACTTGTTGATTCATCATCACTGTCATCATCTCCAAAATCTGTAGAGGAGAATTACATCATAGCAATCCTCATTGCTTTTTAATCTATTAAAAGGTGAACTATGGTACCTTTATAAATAAACTAAACAGTGATTTTCAGTTATAAAGAACATGATCAAAAGTCCACATTGTGATGGACATTTCCTACTCCATATTTAACGCATTCTTTTGCTTGTGTATCAGTGATCCATTGTCTATTACAGGTTCTAAGATAATACAATAAATAAAAACACTGACTCTTATTAAAACTTGAATTTATAATTTCCCATCGCATAAACATACAAAAGTGCAGTATTTTATGATGATAATATGGATAGGCGATGCTGTATAATTTTTTTGCAAAAATTTTACCGAGGTAATCTCTAGGTAAATATACGGTAAACAAACAAAGAAGTGTTTATGTTACCCAGAGCAGGTCCTAAATTTAGTTCACTGGCTCTTGTCCCATGACTAGATGACCCTGTTGCTACCGACTCCAGTCCCAATCCTCCACGTTCCGCCTGACTAGTTGATGATGGTTCTACTTCCATATCACAGATGGCTGGACTAGAGCTGGAGGTGGGCAATGCATGAGCTTTGGCTGCAGGGGGTTGACGTGATGACGAGGAGGATGATGATAACGACGATGAGGAAGATGAACACGAAGGTTGCTTGGGAGCACTTGCTTCGCAAGGCTGATGAGATTGAGAGATGTGATTTGACTGAGGCTGAGCTGAACTAGATAATGATTCTGCTTGGGAGCTGCTAGGCTCTTCTTGGTATGGACCACTACCTCTGGACACTTCGTCACCTACTCCCAGGCTTATCATACCACTACCAACTCCTCGCCCTGAGTATGACAGATTGACAGAAGGTTCCACTTGATGTCTGAGGAGGAAAAGGGTGCCTTTTAAATCATAACTGCAATGAATAAGGAATATTTAACTGATAAATTTCTTAAAAATATTAGTACTGTGTCCAATAATTTGATATTCACAGCTACAGTGGACCCCCGCATACCGATGGCATCACATAACGATTAATCCGCATACCGCTTGCTTTAATCGCAAAAATTTTGCCTCGCATACCGCTTAAAAACCCGCTCACCGATTTTCGTCCGAGACGCGTCCAATGTGCGGCCTGAGCCACGCTCATATGTTCCGCCGGTGGCATTGTTTACCAGCCAGCCTCCGCAGTAACATCCAAGCATACAATCGGAATATTTCGTATTATTACAGTGTTTTCGGTGCTTTTTCTGTAAAATAAGTGACCATGGGCCCCAAGAAAGCTTCTAGTGCCAACCCTACAGCAATAAGGGTGAGAATTACAATAGAGATGAAGAAAAAGATCATTGATAAGTATGAAAGTGGAGTGCGTGTCTCCGAGCTGGCCAGGTTGTATAATAAACCCCAATCAACCATCGCTACTATTGGTGGTACAACTGCTGCTGCTGCTGCACTGTCAGCTGCTGCTGCTGCTGTAGCATCGTCTGCTGCTGCTGCAACATCGTCTGTTGCTGCTGTAGCATCGTCTGTTGCTGCTGTACCACCGTCAGCTGCTGCTGCTGCTGTAGCATCGTCTGCTGCTGCTGTAGCATCGTCTGCTGCTGCTGTAGCATCGTCTGTTGCTGCTGTACCACCGTCAGCTGCTGCTGCTGCTGTAGCATCGTCTGCTGCTGCTGTAGCATCGTCTGTTGCTGCTGTACCACCGTCAGCTGCTGCTGCTGCTGTAGCACCGTTGTTGGTGTGGCTTATTGAGAATACCAAGAAACAATTAACCCCAGAGGATTTGCCACCCAGGATAACCCAAAAAAAGTCAGTGTCATCGAAGACTGTCTAACTTATTTCCATTGGGGTCCTTAATCTTGTCTCCCAGGATGCAACCCACACCAGTCGACTAACACCCAGGTGAACAGGGAAAAATGCCTGGAACTAGTGCTCATATTGGTGAATTTAAAGCCAGCAAAGGTTGGTTTGAGAGATTTAAGAATCGTAGTGACATACACAGTGTGATAAGGCCTGTTCTGGAAGAAAATACCAAACAGGACCTACAGTACTCAGGAGGAAAAGGCACTCCCAGGACACAGTGTCTCATCAGTCATTGCTGCATCTTCAATAAAGGTAAGTGTCATTTATTCTTCATTTAGTAGAGTAGTACATGCACAATATATATCGTGCATGTACTACTCTACTATTGTGCATGTATCCTTCTCTTTGTGTGTAGGAAAATGTATATTTCATGTGGTAAAATTTTTTTTTTCATACTTTTGGGTGTCTTGCACGGATTAATTTGATTTCCATTATTTCTTATGGGGAAAATTCATTCACATACCGATTATTTCGCATAACAATGACCCCTCTTGCACGGATTAAAATCGGTATGCGGGGGTCCACTGTACTTATAAATTTACTTCTATTTAAATATTTAAAAGAGGCTTTTCGAGTTGTAAGGGCTTGGGAATCCACCTGATTCGTGTGAGAATGTTCTAAAGGAGTAAATGGATACAAGTGGTCTTAGTGTATGTGCTGCTGGGATGTGAGCAAGGTAACTTTTATGCAAAGATTCAGGAAATACAGTTAACTGGACTTCAGGCCTAGAGGTAGGAAGAGCAGTACCTGCACTCTGCAGGGGATGGAGGGATGTTACAGCTGGAGGATAATCTGAATTGTGATGTCAACACACTTCTGACAAGACAGAGATTAAATGAAAGATGGTGAATGTTTTCTGTTGGTCTCCCTGCCTTGGCAGGAGATAGCCGTTAGGGTAAAAAATTAACAAATAATAATAAAAGAAAAATATTTTAAAAACGAGGTGAATCACAGAATAGACGGTGGGAAAAAAAAGCAGACAGTGTGTTGAAGCATCTATAGAAAGAAAGATTATCTACAGAGGCAGAAAAATAAGGGACTGTACTTGAGCACAGTGGTACCAACATGTGTGAGGCATGATTAGGCAGTGGAGATATGTTTGAAAGCAAAGAAATTAGAAGATGGAGTGGGGTTACCAAAGGTATAATTCAGAGAGCTGAAGAGGGAGTGTTGAGGTAGTATGGGCATTTATAAAGGATGAAGAGGAATAGGATGAGAGAGAGTGTATAACTCTGGAGTGAAAGAAAGGAGAGTTAAAAAAAAAAAAAAGCTGCTCAAAACTCCCGTGGGTACTCAAAAGAATTTATCCAAAAATTATCCACAATTTGGACACACACACTAATAAAAGGTACAGCATCCCTGCCTTGTATAATTAACACAGTCAAAATTATGAAAAAAATAATATCCACTTTTCTGGCAATTAATCTAAAAGGAAACTAAAAAATTAGGTCCAAAATTAAAAAAAAAAAACAATCCTGCCCCCTCTCCCACTTCCAGTCAGTCAGCTTGTCTTTGTCCAAACCGAAGCACATAAATTATGAACATGTGAAAATGATTATATTTTTTATTATTAACACACTTAGAGAGAGTGGTGAAGCAATGTAAAAAGAGAGCAAATGAGAGAGTGGGTGAGATGTTATCAACAAATTTTGTTGAAAATAAGAAAAAGTTTTGGAGTGAGATTAACAAGTTAAGGAAGCCTAGAGAACAAATGGATTTGTCAATTAAAAATAGGAGAGGAGAGTTATTAAATGGAGAGTTAGAGGTATTGAGAAGATGGAGGGAATATTTTGAGGAATTATTAAATGTTGATGAAGATAGGGAAGCTGTGATTTTGTGTATAGGGCAAGGAGGAATAACATCTTGTAGGAGTGAGGAAGAGCCAGTTGTGAGTGTGAGGAAAGTTTGTGAGGCATTAGGTAAAATGAAAGGGGGTAAGGCAGCCGGGATTGATAGGATAGATAGAAATGTTAAAAGCAGGTGGAGATATAGTTTTGGAATGGTTGGTGCAATTATTTAATAAATGTATGGATGAGGGTAAGGTACCTAGGGATTGGCAGAGAGCATGCATAGTTCCTTTGTATAAAGGCAAAGGGGACAAAAGTGAGTGCAAAAATTACTATAGGGGGATAAGTCTGTTGAGTATACCTGGTAAAGTGTATGGTAGAGTTATTATTGAAAGAATTAAGAGTAAGATGGAGAATAGGATACCAGATGAACAAGGAGGCTTTAGGAAAGGTAGGGGGTGTGTGGACCAGGTGTTTACAGTGAAATATATAAGTGAACAGTATTTAGATAAGGCTAAAGAGGTCTTTGTGGCATTTATGGATTTGGAAAAGGCATATGACAGGGTGGATAGGGGGGCAATGTGGCAGATGTTGCAGGTGTATGGTATAGGAGGTAGGTTACTGAAAGCAGTGAAGAGTTTTTACGAGGATAGTGAGGCTCAGGTTAGAGTATGTAGGAAAGAGGGAAATTATTTCCCAGTAAAAGTAGGCCTTAGATAAGGATGTGTGATGTCACCGTGGTTGTTTAATATATTTATAGATGGGGTTGTAAGAGAAGTAAATGCGAGGGTCTTGGCAAGAGGCGTGGAGTTAAAAGATACTGAATCACACATAAAGTGGGAGTTGTCACAGTTGCTCTTTGCTGATGACACTGTACTCTTGGGAGATTCTGAAGAGAAGTTGCAGAGATTGATGGATGAATTTGGTAGGGTATGCAAAAGAAGAAAATTAAAAGTGAATACAGGAAAGAGTAAGGTTATGAGGATAACAAAAAGATTAGGTGATGAAAGATTGGATATCAGATTGGAGGGAGAGAGTATGGAGGAGTTGAATGTATTCAGATATTTAGGAGTGGACGTGGTGGGAATCGGCCGGTGTGATAATAAAAAAAATATTAACACACTGGCCGATTCCCACCAAGGCAGGGTGGCCCGAAAAAGAAAAACTTTCACCATCATTCGGTCCATCACTGTCTTGCCAAAAGGGTGCTTTACGCTACAGTTTTTAAACTGCAACATTAACACCCCTCCTTCAGAGTGCAGGCACTATACTTCCCATCTCCAGGACTCAAGTCCGGCCTGCCAGTTTCCCTGAATCCCTTCATAAATGTTACTTTGCTCACACTCCAACAGCACGTCAAGTACTAAAAACCATTTGTCTCCATTCACTCCTATCAAACACGCTCACGCATGCCCACTGGAAGTCCAAGCCCCTCGCACACAAAACCTCCTTTACCCCCTCCCTCCAACCTTTCCTAGGCTGACCCCTACCCCGCCTTCCTTCCACCACAGACTGATACACTCTTGAAGTCATTCTGTTTCGCTCCATTCTCTCTAAATGTCCGAACCACCTCAACAACCCTTCCTCAGCCCTCTGGACGACAGTTTTGGCAATCCCGCACCTCCTCCTAACTTCAAAACTACGAATTCTCTGCATTATATTCACACCACACATTGCCCTCAGACATGACATCTCCACTGCCTCCACCCTTCTTGCTGCAACATTCATCACCCATGCTTCACACCCATACAAGAGCGCTGGTAAAACTATACTCTCATCCATTCCCCTCTTTGCTTCCAAGGACAAAGTTCTTTGCCTCCTCAGACTCCTAAGTGCACTGCTCACCCTTTTCCCCTCATCAATTCTATGATTCATCTCACCTTTCATAGACCCATCTGCTGACACTTCCACTCCCAAATATCTGAATACATTCACCTCCTCCATACTCTCTCCCTCCAATCTGATATCCAATCTTTCATCACCTAATCTTTTTGTTATCCTCATAACCTTACTCTTTCCTGTATTTACTTTTAATTTTCTTCTTTTACATACCCTACCAAATTCATCCACCAACCTGTGACAACTCCCACTTTATATGTGATTCTTTATCTTTTAACTCCATGCCTCTTGCCAAGACCCTCGCATTTACTTCTCTTACAACCCCATCTATAAATATAATAAACAACCACGGTGACATCACACATCCTTGTCTAAGGGCTACTTTTACTGGGAAATAATCTCCCTCTTTCCTACATACTCTAACTTGAGCCTCACTATCCTCAAAAAAACTCTTCAATGCTTTCAGTAACCTACCTCCTATACCATACACCTGCTACATCTGCCACATTGCCCCCCTATCCACCCTGTTATACGCCTTTTCCAAATCCACAAATGCCACAAAATCCTGTTTAGCCTTATCTAAATACTGTTCACTTATATATTTCACTGTAAACACCTGGTCCACACACCCTCTACCTTTCCTAAAGCCTCCTTGTTCATCTGCTACCCTATTCTCCGTCTTACTCTTAATTCTTTCAATAATAACTCTACCATACACTTTACCGGGTATACTCAACAGATTTATCCCCCTATAATTTTTGCACTCTCTTTCGTCCCCTTTGCCTTTATACAAAGGAACTATGCATGTTCTCTGCCAATCCCTAGGTATCTTACCCTCTTCCATACATTTATTAAATAATAGCACCAACCACTCCAAAACTATATCCCCACCTGCTTTTAACATTTCTATCTTTATCCCATCAATCCCAGCTGCCTTACCCCCTTTCATTTTACCTAATTCCTCACAAACTTTCCCCACACTCACAACTGGCTCTTCCTCACTCCTACAAGATGTTATTCCTCCTTGCCCTATACACGAAATCACAGCTTCCCTATCTTCATCAACATTTAACAATTCCTCAAAATATTCCCTCCATCTTCCCAATACCTCTAACTCTCCATTTAATAACTCTCCTCTCCTATTTATAACTGACAAATCCATCTGTTCTCTAGGCTTCCTTAACCTGTTAATCTCACTCCAAAACTTTTTCTTATTTTCAACAAAATTTGTTGATAACATCTCACCCACTCTCTCATTTGCTCTCTTTTTACATTGCTTCACCACTCTCTTAACCTCTCTCTTTGTCTCCATATACTCTTCCCTCCTTGCATCACTTCTACTTTGTAAAAACTTCTCATATGCTAACTTTTTCTCCCTTACTACTCTCTTTACATCATCATTCCACCAATTGCTCCTCTTCCCTCCCGCACCCACTTTCCTGTAACCACAAACTTCTGCTGAACACTCTAACACTACATTTTTAAACCTACCCCATACCTCTTCGACCCCATTGCCTATGCTCTCATTAGCCCATCTATCCTCCAAGAGCTGTTTATATCGTACCCTAACTGCCTCCTCTTTTAGTTTATAAACCTTCACCTCTCTCTTCCCTGATGCTTCTATTCTCCTTGTATCCCATCTACCTTTTACTCTCAGTGTAGCTACTACTAAAAAGTGATCTGATATATCTGTGGCCCCTCTATAAACATGTACATCCTGAAGTCTACTCAACAGTCTTTTATCTACCAATACATAATCCAACAAACTACTGTCATTTCGCCCTACATCATATCTTGTATACTTATTTATCCTCTTTTTCTTAAAATATGTATTACCTATAACTAAAGCCCTTTCTATACAAAGTTCAATCAAACTCTCTTTATTTCTCCTTCTTCTCCCTGTGCACCTTAGTTCTGACTCACACTATTGCAATGCAAATAACATCTGGTAATTCGCCTATTTTTTTCTTTGACTTAGCCTAAGATCTGAGTTGAAAATTAGCCATAGGAAATTAATGAAAATATACTATGATCATTGGATTTCCCCATACCTAAATCTGTTTTCTTTCTTTGAATAAATATCAATGAAAACCAGTTTAGTAACAGTTAAAGACAATGTTAAAAATGTATTAGTAGTGTAAGGATTGGGTGATTGCATAAGAGTGAATTTATACCACATGTACTGAATTACTGATTGAAAAAAGATCACCACTTAAAAGCAAATTTTCATAAAACAAAACTATATAATGCTAAGGTGTACCAATACCGAATGTAAAATGTTCAACCATGATAGATAAAAATTTACAAATTTCATATACAGCCTCTCCTCAATTAGCGATGTACTCGTTTACTGATGACTCGGACTTATGACAGGCTCTCTGACCAGTATGCATACCTAAATAATGTATATTAGACCTGATTTCCTCTATTCTGTTTATTACTATACAGTACACTACTGTATAAACATTTAAAAATATACTAAAAATGTTATAAATAGCACAAAGGTGACATTAAAACAATATCAAAGATGGTTGACACAAATATACTACCATTATACATAGTACGCTCCTTGCTTAGTGATGAATTCATTTACTGATGTAGTCTTAGGACTGGAATTCCATGAATAAGTGAGGAGAGGCTATATAATAATATAAAACTAATACCCTATTTGCAAAGGCTATACCGAATTTGCAATATATTTTGCAAACATCTTCTTCATCAAGAACCTATAATGCAATACAAAATGTTTCAGGAACAATTAAAGATTAAGCTTACTTTTGTACAAATCCTTTCCGGAGTGATGAAATCCTGTCTTGTAAACCTTCGAAATTGGAATCTATTACTTTTTCTTGAACAGTCGCTGGATGTGTACTATTTATTGAGCTATCATCTGCGTCAGTTATTGCTTCAGGGTTTGAATGGTGAATTTCCATTTCATTTGTTGTGACTTCAAAAGTATCTGACTGTGAAGGCAGAGAATGCTGTTGTGATGAACTCGATGAGCAAGAATATGATGCCTCGTCAAGACAAACTGCTTGTGACTCTGTTTCTGAAGGCTTAGTACCACTAAAACTGTCTGTGTGTAAACAAGGAGTAGCTTCCAAGGCTGAGGAACACGATGCAACTACTTCTGTAGAGCCTTCCATAGGTGATGGATTACTGAGAGACTCTGCAGGGACATCTGATGTAGATGGCTGTGCCTCAGTATTAGAAGATGGTGACTGACTACCTTCTGCACTAACATCGACATCACCAGTGGTTTCTACAAGGGAATTTGAACGATTCTGAGAGGATTCAGATTCTGAGGCTGAACGCTGGACAGAAGCCCTTGTTCCAGGATCATTTAGCATGCGAGATAAAACGTCTGTCATTCTCTGCATAAGTGTAGCATGCAAGGTTGGTCTTGCTTGCCCAACATCTGCAGAAAAAATAAAAACAAAAATTACTTGTACACTGGAGCAAAAGTACAATGTACTGAAGAACACTACCATTTCATTGTAACTGGTAATTTCAGAGAAAAGAAGCTTTAGTCACCATTCATTTTCCAATTACCTTTACTCATGACTAATTTAATATTACTGCAAGATCTATGGCTATCCTATTGTGATCTCAAATCCTTTGTAACATTATTAGGCTACACATCTTAAAAAAGTTCATAGGGGAGCCCTAAACCTATAGGGCTCATACAATGCCACGGAGAATGGAAGGCCTTCCAATTTAATCCAAGGAAGGGGAGATCAGGTCCAATTTCTTGGATCAAGATCTTTCCAACATCAAGGACCCTTCCTTAAGGGAATCAAGCAGAACAGCTGGTCTTTATAAAAAAAAAAAGTTCTACTTAAACAAATATATCAAATTTCAAACACAACCAAAGTAAACAAATAAACCTAACAGTGTTACACTCTCTAACCAAACAAATTCAAGTTTTATCTCAATAATGCCAAAGCCAATGAAGTGCAACTTACCTCCTGCTTGATTACGCATCTCACTTTCTGGTAGTGCCTGTGGACCAGTGTCCGACCAGTCACCACGCAGACGAAGGCGCTTCAATGTGGGACCTGAGTTGGTTTCTGCATCACTGTCTGCTGGACCTCCTGATGACACTTCTTTATAATTCTGTAAATAATTTTAAAAAGTGTAATAACTAATAATGCAAATAAGAGCCATAATACTCCAAAAAGAGTACTCTGAAATCATGTCTGCCTCTACTACATATAACCAGAAATGTGCCGCATTTTTTGTATTAATCTGACCAACATTTTTTTTTGTGTGGGGGGGGGGGGGGAATACTGTCCTGTAGTTTTAACCTCAATGGCCACCTCCTGCCAAGGCAGAGTGACCCAAAAAAGACTAAGCATTCACCATCATTCATTCAATCACCGTGAGCCAACCTTACAATTTTGATTATCCTCCCGACTATGACATCCCCACCCCTCATTCAGAATGCAGCCAATGCCCTTCCCACTCCAGTCCCTTTCCTCTGACCAAATTAATATCCTGTAAAAAATTAGTGTCAATCATCAAAATCAAAACTAACTGAGAGATAATGAAGAGGTTTGGGAATCCTATCTTCATACATACCTTTTTTTTTATTAACACATCTGCCGTTTCCCACCAAGGTGGGGCGGCCAAAAAAAGAAAAACTTTCATCATCATTTACTCCATCACTGTCTTGCTAGAGGCATGCCTACACTACAGTTGTAAAACTGCAATATTAACACCCCTCCTTCAGAGTGCCGACACTGTACTTCCCATCTCCAGGACTCAAGTCTGGCCTGCCGGTTTCCCAGAATCCCTTCATAAATGTTACCTTGCTTACACTCCAACAGCATGTTAAGTCATAAAATCCATTTGTCTCCATTTGCTCCGGTCTAACATGCTCACGCATGCTTGCTGGAAGTCCAAGCCCCTCGCACACAAAACCTCCTTTACTCCCTCCTCCAACCTTTCCTAGGCCGACCCCTACCGTGCCTTCCCTCAACTACAGATTTGTATACTCTCGAAGTCATTCTATTTCATTCCATCCTCTCTACATGTCCAAACCATCTCAATAACCCCTTTTCAGCCCTCTGGATAATAGTTTTGGTAATCCCACACCTCCTACTAATCTCCAAACTACAGACTCTCTGCATTATATTCACATCACACATTCCCCTTAGACATGATATCTCCACTGCCTCCAGCCTTCTCCTTGTTGCAACATTCACAACCCATGCCTCACGCCCATACAAGAGCGTTGGTATAACTATACTCTCATACATTTCCCTCTTTGCTTTCATGGATAAAGTTCTTTGTCTCCACAGACTCCTCAGTGCACCACTCACCTTTTTTCCCCACGTCAATTCTATGATTCACCTCATCCTTCATAGACCCATCTGCTGACATGTCCACTCCCAAATATCTGAACACATTCACCTCCTCCATACTCTCTCCCTCCAATCTGATATCCAATCTTCCATTACCTGATTTTTTTGTCATCCTCATCACCTTACTCTTTCCTATATTCACTTTTAACTTCCTTCTTTTACGTACCCTACCAAACTCATCAACCAACCTCTGCAACTTCTCTTCAGAATCTCTCAAAAGCACAGTGTCATCAGCAAAGTGCAACTGTGACAGCTCCCACTTTGTGTTAGATTCTTTATCTTTTAACCCCACACCTCTTCCAACACCCGAGCATACACTTCTCTTACTACTCCATCTATAAATATATTGAACAACCATGGTGACATCACACATCCCTGTCCAAGGCCTACTTTTACAGGGAAATAATCTCCCTCTCGCCTACCTACTCTAACCTGAGCCTCATTAACCTCCTACTCCATACATTTGCAACATCTGCCACATTGTCCCCCTATCGACCCTTTTCCAAATCCATAAATGCCACAAAAACCTCTTCACCCTTATCCAAATACTGTTCAACTATGTGTTTCACTGCAAACACTTGGTCTACACACCCCCTACCCTTCCTAAAACCTCCATGTTCATCTGCTATCAATAATATAACTACCATACACTTTACCACGTATACTCAACAGACTTATTCCCCTATAATTTTTACACTCTCTTTTGTCCCCTTTGCCTTTATACAAAGGAACTATGCGTGCTCTCTGCCAATCCCTAGGTACCTTACTCTCATCCATATATTTATTAAATAAAAATGCTAACCACTCCCAAACTATATCCCCACCTGCTTTTAACATCTCTGTCTTTATCTCATCAATCCCAGCTGCTTTACCCCCTTTCATTCTACTCATTGCCCCATGCACTTTCCTCACACACAACTGGTTCTTCCTCACTCCTACAAGATGTTATTCCTCCTTGCCCTATACACGAAATCACAGCTTCCCTATCTTCATTAACATTTAACAATCCCTCAAAATATTCCCTCCATCTTCCCAATACCTCTAACTCTCCACATAATAACTCTCCTCTCCTATTTTCAACTAACAAATCCATTCTTACCATAGGCTTTCTCAACTTATTAATCTCACTCCAAAACTTTTTCTCATTTTCAACAAAATTTGTTGATAACATCTCACCCACTCTCTCATTTGCTCTCTTTTTCCATTACTCCACAACTCTTTTAACCTCTCTTTTTCTCTCCATATACTCCTCCCTCTTTGCATCACTTCTACTTTGTAAAAACCTCTCATGTTAACTTTATCTCTCTTACTACTCTCTTTACATCATCTTTCCACCAGTCACTCTTCTTCCCTCCCACATCCACTTTCCTGTAACCACAAACTTCTGTTGAACACTAACAATAAATTCTTAAACTTACCCCATACATCTTCTGCCCCATTGCTTGTATTCTCACAAGCCCATCTGTCCTCCAACTGTTGTTTATATCTTACCCTAACTGCCTCCTCCTTTAGTTTATGAACCTTCACTTCTGTCTTACTTGCTGCTTCCATTTTCCTTGTATCCCATCCACCTTTTACTCTCACTGTAGCCACAGCTAAAAAGTAATCTGATATATCTGTGGCCCCTCTATAAACATGTACATCCTAAAGTCTACCCAATGTAAAAAAGATCAACTAGAGAACAATTTCAATCAATACAATTTCATCTGCAAGATTCTTAACCATTAACAATGCAGATGCTCCTTGCTTTACGATGGTTCGACTTACAGTATTTTGACTTTATGATGGTGTGATAAACCTGTAAAAAGATTTTTGGTTTTTAATATAGAGTACTGCATATTTATTGATAGCATAAATTTTTTTTTCAACACACCGGCCATATTCCATTAAGGCAAGATGACTTAACTCTTTCAGGGTCCAGTCCCTTGATCTGAAAATTGCTCTCAGGGTCCAAGGGTTTACAAAAAAAAAAAAAAAAATTTTCTTATGAAATTATATAGAATCCTTTATGTGAAGATAATGAAACCAAAAGTACGAAATTTGATGGAAAACTTACAGAATTACGTTCTCGCAAAGTTAGCGGTATCAGTGATGTTTACGTATTGGTGATTTCACCCACTTTTGAGTCCTGTTTTAGGAAAATTACATTGTTCCAGTCGACCAAACTCATAGCTATTTTGCTAGTATATACTAGCCTTCCATTCTATCAAGTGAGTACAAGAAACTGCCCAATTAACTATTTCAACTACCAAATAAAGTGATCAAAAATTAGTAATTTGGCAAATTTCACACAATTAAAAAAATGCCAATTTAAAAAATAGGGTACCAAATAAACAATGTCGACATTCCTGGCACTGAAAAACATTTCCTCTGTTCATTAGATATGTCCCAAGGCCTCTCCTATATTACACTTGCTTTCCATTTTGAATTTTTATTCACACAAAAAAAATAGAAGATTTACTGTTATGTGGGACTACTGCATTATTGTAATTTTTTTTTTTTCAACAAACTGACCGTATCCCACCAAGGCAGGGTGGCCCAAAAAGAAAAACAAAAGTTTCTCTTTTCAAATTTAGTAATTTATACAGGAGAAGGGGTTACTAGCCCCTTGCTCCCGGCATTTTAGCCACCTTTTACAACACACATGGCTTACGGAGGAAGAATTCTGTTCCACTTCCCCATGGAGATAAGAGGAAATAAACAAGAACTAGAAAGAAAATAGCAGAAAACCAAGAGGGGTGTGTATATATATGCTTGTACATGTATGTGTAGTGTGACCCAAGTGTAAGTAGAAGTAGCAAGACGTACCCGAAATCTTGCATGTGTATGAGACAGAAAAAAAAAAAAAACACCAATCCTACCATCATGTAAAACAATTACAGGCTTTCGTTTTACACTCACTTGGCAGGACGGTAGTACCTCCCTGGGCGGTTGCTGTCTACCAACCTACTACCTACTATTGTAATAATTGTATGTAATAATTTCAGCCCATTCATGTAGTATAAATAATGTCAGCACATTCATGTATAAATAATGTTATCGCATTCTCTGAATGTAATGTTAATCCTTATTTTAATATTCACATATTTTAATCACAACCTAAGAACTGTATTTAATAAGCTTCTACCTGTGTGTCAAAAAGATACAGGTAATCTGAAGAATAACTGGCCAGAACTTCCTGTCCATTGTGACTGTAGCGTAGGGACGTCACACGGTGATTCTTGCCCTCCATATTGTCAGGTTTAAGCCTCATCAATAGCGCTCTATCAGTCTGCTCCAGATACGAATCTGAAGGGAAAATTTAAAGCAGAGCGATACTGTATTAATCATCCTCAAATACTAAGCAATTCTTTAAAGCATGCAGCCTCTACATGAAATACTGTCGTCCCTATACACATCCTGGTTATTGCGTCAGACATTTAGCAGCAACATTAAAGATATGAAAATACGTTAGTAGAATTCTAAAGATTGGGTAAGCTTATCTTTGCTATGCTTAGTAGGTTGCAAAGGAAGAGGCACATGACTGCAGCAGCACAGTGACATTGCTATGCACTATACTCAAGTGCATCATGCCTTGCACCATGTAGAGGAAAAGATTATTAATTTATGTATATTATGTCTCTGTACTCTACAGTTCAGAAAATAATCACTAGCTGTGACTAGAAAATAATTTTTTTTGGACTCTACATATTTATGTTCCTATTTCAGTATGAATTATAAGTAAAATAGAGAGACCTTCCAATAAACTTCAACAAAGCAGTGAATTTTATAAACTGGATTATTAAAGCAATGGGAAGAGTTCACAGTACAGTGGACCCCCGGTTAACGATATTTTTTCACTCCAGAAGTATGTTCAGGTGCCAGTACTGACCGAATTTGTTCCCATAAGAAATATTGTGAAGTAGATTAGTCCATTTCAGACCCCCAAACATACACGTACAAACGCACTTACATAAATACACTTACATAATTGGTCGCATTCGGAGGTAATCGTTATGCGGGGGTCCACTGTATTCTGAATAAATACTCAGCCCCCCCCCCCCGATGTGGCAGACTTGTACTGTTTTCTGCGTAATATTGTTTGGCTATCACTTGTTAGTAGTTACTCCCACCCCCTTCTGCTTGGTACAGAGCAAATCTCTATAACAGATGATGGCTTGCACTGGGAAGAATTTGATCAAATCTTGAGTCCTGGAGGTGGGAGTTCAATGCCTGTACTCTAAAGGAGAGGTGAAGACACAGAAATTCAAAGGGGCATCTAAACCATGTCAGCACTCTTCTGGGAGGACAGCGATTGAGTGAATGAATGTGCTTCCTTTTTTTTTTTTTTGAGTCACCCTACCTTGGTGAGAGAAGGTTGGTGTGAATTTTTTTTTTCGACAAGTAGGCCGTCTCCCACCGAGGCAGGGTGACCCAAAAAGAAAGAAAATCCCAAAAAGAAAATACGTACTTTCACCATCATTCAACACTTTCACCTCACTTACAAATAATCACTGTTTTTGCAGAGGCACACAGATACAACAGTTTAGAAGCATATATAACATACCCCTCCAAACTGCCAATATCCCAGACCCCAGGCATTGTACTTCCCATTTCCAGGCCTCAAGTCCGGCTATATAAAAATAACCGGTTTCCCTGAATCCCTTCACTAAATATTACGCTGCTCACACTCCAACAGCTTGTCAGGTCCCCAAAAACCACTCGTCTCCATTCACTCCTATCTAACACACACATACATGCTCGCTGGAAGTCCAAGCCCCTTGCCCACAAAACCTCCTTTACCTCCTCCCTCCAACCTTTTCTAGGACAACCCTTACCCCCACCTTCCTTCCCCTACAGATTTATACTCTCTCCAAGTCATTCTACTTCAATCCATTCTCTCTAAATGACCAAACCACCTCAACAACCCCTCTTCAGCCCTCTGACTAATACTTTTAGTAACTCCACATCTTCTCCTTATTTCCACACTCCGAATTCTCTGCATAATATTTACACCACACATTGCCTCCAGCCGCCTCCTTGCTGCAGCATTTGCAACCCAAGCTTCACACCCATATAAGAGTGTTGGTACCACTATACTTTCGTACATTCCCTTCTTTGCCTCCATTGATAACGTTTTTTGCCTCCACAGATACCTCAATGCACCACTCACCTTTTTTCCTTCAGCAATTCTATGGTTAACGTCATCCTTCATAAACCCATCCGCTGACAAGTCAACTGCCAAATATCTGAAAACATTCACTTCTTCCATACTCCTTGTCTCCAATGTGATATCCAAAAATATATGGAGGGATATGTTGTGTATATTTATATGTATATGTTCTGAACACCTCTGCAAAAACAGTGATTATGTGTAAGTGAGGTGAAAGTATTGAATGATGATGAAAGTATTTCTTTTTTGGGGATTTTTTCTTTCTTTTTGGGTCATCCTGCCTTGATGGGAGATGGCTGACTTGTTAAAAAAAAAAAAGTAGAGATTTGCTCTGCACCAAGTGACCTTCTAGCATACTTGCAATACCTGTCATCCATCATTCCCATCCCACACACATCCCAAGAATTATATTTTTCACATTTAACATGTCTCTACAACTTTATTTCGAATGATTAATGTATGGATGATTTGTAACTGCTGTAATCTTTTTGTTATCCCTTGCTCACTCATTCCCTCCTGTTCTCATGAACAGCTCTTTCACATTTAACTCATTCTCTACCATTTGTCAGTCATGATAAGTGTAAGATGTGTAAGTGTAGATGAGTGAAGAAGAATTATAATTACAATCCTGGACTCTTCAATAATATTCAATAAAACACTACTACTATATACATGTATATGCATAATAAATAGAGGAGAAAGTGGTTGAGTAAAATTTCAATTCCCAGACCTGGAAGTAACTCACTGTCTGATGTAGTTTCACCTGAGGAAGGCAAAAGAGGTGGATAGGGAGTGAGGATTTCATTCAATACAGTAAAATTCTTAAAAGCTTTCACACACACACACACTAGTTTTCAGGAACGAATGTACAACATTTCATTTCTCACCGGTTGCTCGGGTACCAAGGATGCGTCGATCATATATTCGGATAGTGGAGTCCTGTGTTGCTACAGCCATGTGGTATGGAGTGATGGGATTGACTGCTACAGCAGTTACAGCACGACCCATATTTAGCAGGATGTCCTGGAAAGTATAGTTTCATGTCAGATCTTTTAATACTTACAGAATTAGGACACCTTCCTAAAAGTAATTACTTTTAGAAATCTTCTACCCACACAATCACTGGTCAAATTATACAACTGGCATTTTTCCACTGAAGTGTAAAGTATAATAGCTTAGCTTCAATAATAATTTGTTCAGTCCAATCTAAAAAATATTTCAATGAGTTAGCTATAATTCTTTCCATGGGGAAGTGGAGCAGAATTCTTCCTCCATAAGCCATGCATGTCATAAGAGGTGACTAAAATGCTGGGAGCAAGGGGCTAGTAACTCATTACTACAATTAAAAAGAGAAACTTTTGTTTTTCTTTTTGGGCCACCCTGCTTTGGTGGGATATGGCCAATTTGTTGAATGAAAGAAGAAAGCTATAATTCTGAAGCAGATTTTTTTACAACTCAAAAAAGAGGAACACCATCTATATCAGGCAATATGTTATCATCCAAGTAGTAAAAGTCCAAGCAGTAGAAGGCACATAAAATATTGTGAATATAAAATTCACAGAAAGTCATGAGGCGAGATTTAGTAACAGATCATAACAGCCTTATTGAATTTACAGTAATCATTATCATATTTATAGGAAACACTAAACCCACTGGGGAAAGGAAAATAATCAGGCTTGATCTGAGGAAGGGGAAAAATAGCTCCCATATCGTAGATCAAGAGTCCTTCACCAGCAAGACATACACTCTTGTGAATCTACAACTATTCCTAGAATCAAGAGTTTTTTGCCAAAACCAGGGCACTCCTAACCTTGCAAATTTACAATAGATAAAATCAAACTAAATACTGTATTGGTAGAACATCAAAAAGCTAACCTCCTGACAGTTGCGAGCGGAACACTGCTCTTTGGTGCGCAGATCAAACCAGCGCACAAAGCCATCCTCCCCACAAGACAGAAACGTGTGAGGATCATCTGGCAGAGTGATGACATCATAACATGTGCTCAAATGACAGGTAAACTTACAGTCATGGGTCTCCTCTTGCCTCTCAACATCTGCCAAACAAAAAAATAAAAAAATAAAAAATAAAAAAATTAAAGACTCTCTTACTTAGAATGTAACTAAGAGTTTACATATACTACTTACATAGTCTTAATATTATCTGATTCTATGACTTAATCACTTTTGAGATTATGAAAAATTTAAATATTTGCCTCTGAATTTTGAAGTGCCTTTGGGAACATCACAGAACAGTAGACACCTGACTTACAATGTTTTAAGTTATGATTTTTTCCACTATTATTTTTCCCTTGGTTTGTTTTTTACTAAATAAATTCATACACTGTGAGTGGAGACAAGTGGTTCATAGGACCTGATGAGCTGTTGGAGTGTGAACAGGGTAATATTGTGTGAAGGGATTCAGGGAAACTGGTTAACCAGACTCGAGTCCAGGAAGTGGGAAGTACTGTACTGTGCCTGCACTCTAAAGAAAAGGTTTGGGATATTTGCTGTTTGGAGGGACAACAGTTTGTTGTATCTGTGCACCTCTGGCAAGACAATGATAGTTTGAATGATAATGAAAGTGTTAACAAAAAAAAACTCACATTTTTTGGTAAAATAGTCAAGAATTATAGATTGTTATTATTACATTCATAAAGAGAGAACTAAACCTGCAGGGGGTCATTCAGTGCCAGTACTATCACATACTACATACCCTCTCATCCTACCAACCCTGAACTGTTTCTCGGCTGGTAGCCGCCTCAGCTAGCTGAGGGATCAGGGGTTTGACCCCCAGCACAAGGAGAAAAGGGTACGTTTCCTTACATCTACTGTCCTGCTCATTAAGCAGTAAGTACATACCTGGGTATTAGCTGACTACTGTGGGTTGCATCCTGGAGGAGAGGTTTAAAGGACCCAATTGAAATAAGACAGACGCGACCTGACTTTACTGGGTTACTCACTCTCCAGGTTAATAATCTGAACAAAACCTTTTTTCTCTCTCTCTCTCTCTCTCTCTCTCTCTCTCTCTCTCTCTCTCTCTCTTTCTCTCTCTCACTCACTCTCTTAATATGTGGACATTGAAGAAAGAGTTTTGCTGTAAATGCAATTGAAAAACATATTAAATGTAAAATACTGGGTAAAAATTCTTTGGAAAAAATTAACCAAAATCTGAGACAATTTTTTTTTTTATTTCTGTGGGAAAATAAATTCCAAGTTCCGAATAAGTGACTCACGATGAATTTAAAGGAACGAATTATTGTCACAAGTTAGGAGTCTACTGTATTCTAACAGTTACACATCTGTTAGTAAAGACAGAACAGCTGCAGTAAACTTCACTACAAACAGGGATAAATTAATATGTAATCCAAACATATCAATTCATCAGGATTAATTAACCCGTAAACAGTCCAAGCAGATCTACGTTCACATGTGTAGTGCTACAAAAGTAGATCTACATTTTTTACAGATTTTTAAATGTAACAAAAAAGCAGATCAAAGTTTTTTTACACATTTTCAAATGTAAAAAAACAAAAAGAAGATCTACTTTTTTTACATACTTTCAAGTGTTGAAAAAACGTATACAGTGGACCCCCGGTTAACGATATTTTTTCACTCCATAAGTATGTTCAGGTGCCAGTACTGACCGAATTTATTCCCATAAGGAATATTGTGAAGTAGATTAGTCCATTTCAGACCCCCAAACATACACGTACAAACGCACTTACATAAATACACTTACATAATTGGTCGCATTCGGAGGTAATCGTTATGCGGGGGTCCACTGTATATATGTTTGGACCGTTTACGGGTTAAACTTCAAATCTGTCAAGTTAATTAGGGGTGCAAAGACACACAAACCTTCTCCACAAATAAGGATAAGCTAATTAACCTTCACAACATTTTGAAAGAAACAAAACATACAAGTTTTCACATTTCTACAGTCAAAATAATATTATAGTGAAATGAATGCTTCAGAAAATATTGGAAAAATGACATGCCCGTACAAGGAACACAGAAATGTGTAAAAAATAATAATTATAACAACTACAATATCCAAAAAAGTTATATATAACAAAAGCAAATTATCCCTAAAGCTACATAAAGCAAAGTATCTGAAAGTTATTTATAACAAGCACAAAATCCAAAATGTTACTTACAACAAATATAATATCCAATAAATTACTTATAGTAAATAACCAATGAATATTAAGTAATTATGTAAAAATAAGGTGTAAAATTAAAACAAAAAGTAATTTATAAACTTCACAAAATGTCTCAACCCATTTAGCTCTCACGTCCCCCATGCATACAACCCATTCATTCACTCATATATACATCCAGTCTAGACATTCACATTCATACATACTATACAGCCCAGTCAATCACACTCATAAATACTATACACACCAGTCACACACTCATACACTCCATCCCCCTGGTTTCACATTAATACAGTAGAACCCCCGTATCCACTGATTCGGTATCCGTGGTTTCAGTTATTCACAGTTTACTGTAGCCCAAAAATACCTCTTAATTTTGCATAATAATGTGCATAATTGATCAATTTAGACTTCATAATAGGTATGTATAGGAGTTATGTATGTATAGCGTTTGCTATTATCCATGGTTTCGGTATCCACTGCAGATCCTAGGAACTTATCCCCAGTGGATATTGGGGTCCTACTGTATTGCTATTTCACATTTTCTCACAATTGCACCACAGTATTTCATTCACTAATAAGAACCTGATATTACTTATCTGTTATCAAAATAAAACTCAATAATACTAACAATGAACACAGCTATTCCACATTAACCTGTATATATTAGAATGCCATCCCCAGAACATGAGATAATCTTTCTGTTTCCAGTTTGAGGTAAGAACTTAGCACTGAAGATATTGGCACGATGTGCAGTGTGGATACGAATTTTTGTCATTCTCTCCCAAGGGTCACTGAAAAGAGAAATACATTATAAGCCATTGCTGAGAAATTAGTTTTCTTAAAAGGTCCCTAAGTAAAACAATTCAATAATATACATAAAATGGTGCAGACACAAATTGCCAAGAATTTAATTTCCACTTCATTTTTTCTAAGTAGAGTACTGAACGTATATAGTTTTAGCATATTGATATTTGCTTGGTTCATGCTCTTATAGACACCATGGATACTTAATGTGTGTGAAAAAGCATTTGAAAGGTAATAGCAGCCACACTGTAATACAGTACATTAAAACTTCAATTTAACGGACTTCGATTTAATGAATTTCAAAGTTAACAGCAGAATCCATTTCTGGATAACATTCGGAAACAGCGGACAAAATCCATTACATTCAAAACTGTCCATTATTCTTACTGTGTGCTGGATAAATTCTCTTCAGATATAGCAGACTAAGTTGGTTAAATCAGAAATGTCTTATTTTATTCATTATTTTTGGATAAATTCTATTAAACCCAGCCTGTTGGACAAATTTGGTCTAAGTCTGTTAAATCTAGAACTGCTTATTATTATTCTCAAAGTTCAGATACAGGTTTTAGCAGACTTCCTTCTCCCTTCCTCTTCCACAAGTCCGTTAAACTGAAAGTTCCCTGTACATGGTTCCAGCCAAACAATATGGTATAAAACATTTTCAAAGCTGTATCTTACAGAATTAATACTTCTACATTAATATACTGTACTCACCAAATGTAGGTCAGTGCTTTTTATGGCTTTCTGGATAAATGTGATCAAGTTTTGGTGCACGAGGCACGAAGAGTGGTAGTGCACAGCTAGTGCTGATGTGCATTGTAAAGTCTATCCTAGTTCTAATCTAACATAACTCCAGTTTCAACTACACTGAACACCTGTGGAGTGCAAGCACTTTGTCCAATAATTTCAAGCAAAACAGAATACTGCATGTGTTTGTTTGGTTGATAAATGTTTTGTGCGAGCAGAGATGACTGTCGGTGACGCTGCCCACAACTATTACTAATTTTCTGATTGACAGACAGGCTGCCAAGACCTGAAATAATTTGTTGATATTAAAGTAAATTTGAGGGGCTATTCACCATGAATATAGTTGAGATATGCAAATTCCAAAGCCACATGTTTGGAATCTACTGTACAACTCTCAAAATCATGCAGGTCTTTAAATTAACCATAAACTTAAGAAATACAGCATGTTAACAACCTCTCCTCAGTTTCTTTTTCCTGAGTTAAGCATCACCAAAATATTCTGCAGTCGATAAAAACTCCAAAAAAGCATTTGGATAAACATCAGTTTATTTTAAGGAAAAAGTGAAATCGACACCCAAGTACTACATCTGTCAAAATTAGCATTATACATATGTACTAATAAATTTGGGATAAAAATTTATGTTCATCTACTGTTGGAAGCAGTATGGTAGAGGTTTGGAATAACACACATGCACAGTACAGGTTGGCCATCACTAATCTGGCATCATTGGGTCCTGTATGTGCCGGATTAGTGAGTTTGCTGGATTACAGAGTGGTTAGGCTAGAACACACTTAATTAACCTATCAATAGAGACTTTCTGCTACATCTTCCTCATTTTCATCACTGCTTGCTCCTCCACTGGCTTACTGCTGTGGATTTACAACCACCTGCACAATTTCTGAGTCAGTATAATGATGAAATTTGAGTCAGTATAATGATCTAAGTCAGTACAATGTATAGTAAAGTTTATTTCTTTATAAAGGTTACAATGTGTAATTACAATTTTGATTTGATAAGTACAAAGATAGCCACTATCATGCCGAGGCATTTTGGGCAAACTAATCCTAATACGTACATAGTAACTAATTAAAACTAGATAAGATAATAGTACATAGTAACTATACTTAAAACTAGACAAGTAATAGTGGTTAGCTGTTTTACAACCTTATTTAAATTTAATACAACCTTATTTAAACTTAGTACAAGTGAGTAGGGTTCAGTAAAATGATGAACTTTGAAATTATGCTAGCTGAAATTAGTGCCGGATTAGCGATGGCCGACCTGTATTAGGATATTTTATTGAGAAAACATTGTGCCAGCACTGTCTTCTTCAGCTCTGATGTGGAAAAATCTTATCAACAGTTTCTTGGTGAAACATTTCCTAAAAAATAATTTAACACTGTGTGTGTCTTATTCACATTTGTTGGTATTTTATACCATATCTTAACCAGTGGTGGCTTGATGCTCACCATATAACAAGGTGTTGGTCATCTGAGCCAGAGAGCAGGAGGTTACCAGGAGCATCCCATACAACGGTGTTGACACAGCCTCGGTGAACCTCCATCGCCTGAAGGAGCGACATCCGTTGCAAAAGGCCCTCATTACCTACAATAAGCAACATTTTGCATTACAGAGCTGTCATTAAATTATTTAAAAGGGTTAAATTCACATAACTTTTGTTTTTCCTTCCGGGCCACCCCGCCTCGGTGGGATACGGCCGGTGCGTTGAAAGAGAAAATTCACATAAGAAAGAAGTAATCAACACTTTCTCTTCATGATGACTTTTTAGGTCATATCTACACCACCTCCATCATCTGTGATTAATTTTGTTTCTTCAGTTTCTTAAATGAAACAAAAAAAAAATAAATTGAAAATTAAAGCATATCTACGTACACAAAATACAAGACTACAAACCAGCTATTCCTTTTAATGAGTACAACTATCCCCATTTTTGCACTGTTTTTTTATTACTAAATCAAATGACCAGAAGTGTTACCGGCATTTCTTACTGTAGAATTAACACCATAAGAATCACTGGCTGATTTAACCTACAACTATAACTCTTATTATTATTATTATTATTATTATTATTATTATTATTATTATGTGTGTATATGTATATCAATTTATATCAATTAAATGCATGAAAAGTTGAATACTGATTCAAAATACATTAAGTATTGAACATTATTATGTTTAAAATTACATTAAGAATCACGTGTAATGGGCAGAACAAATCCTAAATCACAATTTTATATTAATATTTAAATTATAAATTATAGTATACCATTAACCTAAATAAAAATATAAGAGGTTAATAACCCAGGATAACTCAGTTATAACAGAGGTTAATAACCCAGGATAACTCAGTTATAACAGAGGTTAATAACCCATGATAACTCAGTTATAACATCAGTTATAACTGATGTTGAACATTAAAATGGTATAAAATACCGACAGATTGTTAGGTAAGACACATATGCAACAGTTAGGTATCTTTATTTCGAAATAAAGATACCTAACTGTTGCATATGTGTCTTACCTAATAACTGATGTTATAACTGAGGGGGGGGCTGAGAGCCCCTTCATTGGAGAATTTTCTCCACAATGTATAATAATTTATGTAACTGTATTTATGTATACAACTGAATAAATTTGCCTGAATTTACTGGAAGCTGAGCAAGAAAATAAGACACTTGTGCAATATCCGGGAATCTTTATTGAGGAAACATTTCGCTAGTCAGTGCCTTCTTCAGTCCAATTCCGAGAATGGTGGAAGATGAGGCAGAGGAGTTTGAGGTAATCAGTCCCTCAGCATTGAGTCGATGTGTTCAGTCCATCAATCTTGATAATAATTCCAAAATGTTGCACATGTGTCTCATTTGGTTTTTCAAAACCATTTGTGACTTTAAATGACGCCCTAAATTACCTGAAGCGGGTGACCCCCCCCAGTAGGCCATTTAACAGTCACACCTACATACAATGAAGCCAAAACTCAACACCCATGATGATCTACATCACTCAGCACCCACACTGATGGAGATTCGTCAGGATTATCATTTCCCAAAATTGTTTTTTTTTTGCAATTGCAAAGGCCAGGGTACTGCAACTTACCTTTTGCAAGGGGGAAGAGGAGGCTGGTATCGATAGGATCATACTGGCGCTTGAGAATATGCCTTAACATCAGTATATATCACTCACGGCAGGTCACCCAGACACTCATTCACCACAATTAGCAAGAAAAAATGTTGAGAAATATCTCCTGATGCAGGTTACGCCTCGTCCTCTGTTGTCAGCTGTTGTTATTCCCTCATCAATCTTGAGTATGGATACAACCCTCTGATTCAACTTATAACTCAATCATTTGCAGCTTTAATTAAATATATTTAAATTACTATCTATCTTCTTTGTAATGATAAAGAAACAGTCTATTTCAATTAGTAATATTGATAGTTAAAAGTGTGTATTTCCACTACTTAGCTCTATTTGATGTATGAAAGGCTACGAGCCTTGAGTCTTTTCGATAATGTACTGCAATTTATTGACTCAGAAGTAAGAACCATTAATAATATGCAGTATATTCATCTCCTGCCTGACCTTTAGTCACAGTATATATACCTAGAGGTTTAATAATAAAGTCCCTGGAGGGCGAAGCGCCTACTGTATGTATATATACTTTAATACAATTAAACACCCCCAAGTGAAGCAAATTATGCTAAATTTTTGGCGTTATCTTTGACTGAATCTGCATATTTACCACCAACTGATACTCGAAACGAACATACATTTGTGGTACAGTGTATCAGTTGTATTCAGTACCGACAAGAGGATGAATTAGACCTGAAAAAGTTGGTCTCCGAACGAAATGTTGCCTCAGTAGGATTTACATTTTGCCATAGATAAGAGCTTTAGTGTCTCTAAAGTTTTGGCTAAATCGATTTCAGGCCGTCAGGTGATGTAATTAGTCTTTAGGTTTACCCTCACAATATACTTTTTTTTACACAGCTAAGAGTTGTACAGGATGAAGTTGGAGCCATCTGTGGGCCAGCGTCATTATTTAATCAACTGCCTTCATTTCGATGAACATCAAAATGGTATAAAATACCGACAGGTTGGTAGGTAAGACACAAAGGCAACAGTTAGGCAACTTTATTCCGAAACGTTTCGCCTACACAGTAGGCTTCTTCAGTCGAATACAGAAAGTAGGCAGGAACAGTAGAGATGTGAAGACGATGTAATCAGTCCATCACCCTGTTCCTGCCTACTTTCTGTATTCGACTGAAGAAGCCTACTGTGTAGGCGAAACGTTTCGGAATAAAGTTGCCTAACTGTTGCCTTTGTGTCTTACCTGCCTTCATTTCGTTCCCTTTTCAGTGTCTGTAACGGGTTAATAAAACCCCTGGTAGGGGTGGCATATTTTAGTCCCCTTGTTTCTTGTAAATTCAAAGATCATCAAAGTATCTTATTGATCAATTTTCATCTTTACTTTGCATAATAACTGATAATAACTCTCTTAAGTCAATGTGACCTGACCTGACTAGGTTGGGTGCCGGTAGGAAACTTGGACCTGCCTCGCATGGGCCAGTAGGCCTGCTGCAGTGTTCCTTCGTTCTTATGTTCTTAACTCACCTCCTCAGAGTAATGACTAAACCTGGACCAAAAATACAGCATACATTCTAAATATTTTATAATGAGAAGGTTATATAAGAAACAGGCTATCGTTAGTTTGTTTATTGTGTCCACAAGATAAAAAAAAAAAGGTCTGGAAAGTCGCTGGAACTGCTGCGGGTGCTGGAACTGCTGCTGCTGGTGCTGGAACTGCTGCTGCTGGTGCTGGAACTGCTGCTGCTGGTGCTGCTACTGCTGGTGTCCTCTCACAGTTGCCTACCACTTCGATGAGGCATCAGGTCAAGATGTTTACCTTCTGGTTGGTAAATAGTTCAGTGCTATTTTCCACATCCTTCTTGCTTCGGTAGGATCGCAAAGTCGTCGAACAAGCTCGCTGAAATTCGCCGGCTCGCGTCTACCTTGGTCTGGAAATTCTTTTATAACCTGAGCTGTGAGTAGGTTAAGTTTATTTAGACACAGGTATACATAACTACAATTATCATATCATAACTTACACTAAGTTATCTAGGATAACCCAAAAACAAAGTGGATAGAAGAAAGGGAGAAGTTTTACAACTATGTTGACAAGATGTCGACGAAGACTCATGGAACCTTACTGACGAGAAAGCATTCTTTGTGCAGCAAATTTAAAAGTGCTATTTTAACAATACAGAATATTAAGATGATCTTATGGACATTTACGTTCATTTCCCTTACAGTTTGGTTCTGCGTGTCTCGCTGTGGTACAAATTCTCGCCCTGCGGTACAACACTTCGTCAACTAAGCATATGAAGATTGAGACACTTATGCAACATATGGGAATGTGATGAATGGTGTCTCAATTCTTCAACATATGGGAATCTTTATTGAGGAAACGTTTCGCCACACAGTGGCTTCATCAGTCTAATACAAATCAGAAGGGTGTAAGGAGAGGAGTTGGATGTAATCAGTCTCTCAGCTTCAACTAAGCAGATAGTAAGAACACTGACAATGAAAGTTATGTAAACATTGATGAAGGATGAACATCAAAATGGTATACAATTGATGAAGTGGATGTCTGTGACATACTGAAAGACATTCATTATTTACGGTGATGAATAACCTGTTGGGTATTATGTAAATACCGAGAAACATCAGTAACTGCCACACCAATGTCAACATACCATAGGAACTTGGATTTGGCTGACTAGACTAAGGACCGGGGATTCTTAAAAAATAAAATGCAAAGATTATAAAAAAAATGTTGTATAATAAGAACATAATTTATACTGGTATAGAAATTCATTCTGTGGTACAGAAATTCACTCTGGTACAGTAATTAAATGCATCAGTTTACCTTATGGTACAAGAATTTAACCTGTGTGAGAATTTATCCAGTGGTATTATTCACCTTGTGGTACAATAACTCATCTTGTGGTACAATAACTCATCTTGTGGTACAATAATTCACCCTGTGGTACAATGATTCACCCTGTGGTACAATAACTCACCCTGTGGTACAATAACTCACCCTGTGGTACAATAACTCACCCTGTGGTACAATAACTCACCCCGTGGTACAATAACTCACCCTGTGGTACAATAACTCACCCTGTGGTACAATAACTCACCCTGTGGTACAATAACTCACCCTGTGGTACAATAACTCACCCTGTGGTACAATAACTCACCGACATGTTGATAAATTAGACACATGTGCAACTCTTGGGTATCTTTATTGAGGAAATGTTTCGCCACACAGTGGCTTCATCAGTCCATACGTAGGAGAAACTTGAAGAACAGGAGGAGAATGAGGTAATCAGTCCCTCAACCTTGAGTCGATGTGTTCAGTCCATCAATCTTGAATAGAATACGGCATATGAGCGGAGAAGCAGCTTATAAACCGTATGGCAGGAGAGGTGCAGCAGTCATAGGTGGTGTCACATTTGTTCAATGTGGAAGTAGGTCGTGCCCAAGAATTAGGCAAGCGAAGAATTCCTAAGTATTAAGATCCCAAGAAGTTGCAGTGTCTGACAGGTTTGTAGATGAATGGTTCAGAGAACCGACTGAACACATCGACTCATGGTTGAGGGACTGATTACCTCATTCTCCTGTTCTTCAAGTTTCTCCTACGTATGGACTGATGAAGCCACTGTGTGGCGAAACGTTTCATCAATAAAGATACCCAAGAGTTGCACATGTGTCTAATTTATCAAGATCTGTTTGACTTGAAAAAAGCCCATTGTGTGGGCGAAACGTTGTCAATAAAGGATCACATTATACTGCATATGTGTTTATATTACCAGACTTACCTTGGTCATGATCGTTAAACGGTAAAGCCATGGCTGAAACCTGACTCAGTAAGGCCAATAGCAGCAACAGAAAGAAGGTAACAACAGAGGTCGTCATTCTCTACAGATAAAGTGACTTCTAACTTAACAAGAGAAATATATTCTCGTCTGACACTGGCTGGAAGACCACTGATGTTATTGCCATCAATCTGATTGTTTATATGCCTTTGAAGTAGTAGTAGTAGTAGCAGTAGTAGTAGTAGTAGTAGTAGTAGTAGTAGTAGTAGTAGTAGTAGTAATAGTAGCAGTAGTAGTAGTAGTAGTAACGAATATAAAGAGACACTACCTACCTTCCTCCTGACAAACATTAGTAAACCACCACTTGAATTCAACAAAGTCTCATTTAGACTCCATGACGAGGCCTCAATAAGGAAGTTCACAGCTGACCTAGAGATTGTTGACTGGCCTACAGAATTCTCCAAGGCCAATGGTATTGATGACTGGACAGACATTTTTCTTAACAAATTACTTAGACTATACAACAAACATTGTCCTATAAAAACGAAACAGATCACAAACAAACGGCTTGGTTGCCGGGCAAACCCAGTACCTTTTCTGAAATCCATTGACAAGAAACACCAATATGAAAAGCAATATAGACAGGGTTTAATACACAAAGATATTCTTAAACACTATTCATCAGTTCTCACCAAAGTAATAAAGAAAGCCAAACAACTATACTACTCCAGTAGATTCACAGACACTAGAGGAGATATAAAAAAGCCCTTTGGAAAACACTCTCTCAGATTCTAGGACCCACAACTGAAAAAAAACCAAAAACATTGTCCTAACTAAACCTAATAAAACACCACTACATCCCACTGACACAGCTAACGAGATAAACGACTTCTTCTCAACCGTAGGATCTAATCTCGCCAATAAAATCCCACATACCAATGCCCATGCCGGGACACCTAGATGGGAATTTCCCAAATTCCTTCTATCTTGCACCAACTGAGCCCTGGGAAGTCACCGAGATTATAAATCATTTAAAAAACAACTCAGGGAATCTGTCTAATGTCCCACCATTACTGTATAAGCGAGGGGCCCATATCCTTTCGCATGCTATTTCATTACTTTTTAACAAGTCACTAGAGACTAGCACCTTCCCGAAACTACTCAAGATGGCAAGGGTTACACCAATACATAAAGGTGGTGACCCTACAGACTTAAACAACTATAGGCCAATATCAAACTACCATTGCTATCCAAAATCTGAGAAACTCGTGCACAGGAGACTTTTATTCATTTATAACGTCACAAAAAATACTTAACCCCTGCCAATTTGGATTCAGGAAAATAAAAGCCCCTAAAGATGGGAATCATAAAAATGCTAGATCTGCTTTACACAGCATTGGAAAAAAAAGGAATATCCACT